AAGGCCACCTTTGGGTGCATTTGGAGTGATGGACTGAGAAAAGGAAAAGAACCTTTGTCTTGCTGCTGGTGATTTCCACGGTTTTATAACATAGGGAGAGAGCTCTCCTAAGCATATTGTCTTCTGTAATTTAAGTGTTCTGCTCTCCTCACAGCTCAGGAAAAAGCCTTCCTTGCTTATGTTCCTCAGTTTTCAGGTTTCATTGTAAAGTTCTTTTTTCACATTCCCTCTCATCCGATGGAGGAGCCAAACCAGCTGTTGTGTCCCCATGAAGCCATGGGTGACTCACAGCTCTCCTTGTCCTACGGCTGGCAAACACTCCAGTGCAGGGCTGCTGGATCTGAGCCTGTTCCAGCTCACCTGTGGCCCTGGCTGTGCCCTGAGCTCTCCCCCAGCGTGTTCCTCACCTTCAGCAGTGCTTTCCAGGAGGGTGCTGGGCAAGTGCCTTTCCCTGCATGCCCTGGTTGGCAGCAGTTCTTCCCTGCTGGAAGTGCCTGGAGTGTCAGTAGGTTTCTGAATCTTCCTCCCAGCACTTGGTAATGAAAACCACTTTCTTGACAGCCATTAAGCTGGGTGAGGAATACTCCAATTCTTCTGTTCAAGTAACCTTTCTGAGGAATGCACCTGACCTTTGTTCTTGCCCTGGGTTTTGCTGGAGGTACTTTGATGCCTTATCTTTACTTCCTTTCATGCTGCTTCTTTACTCCTGGTGTAACAAAGTGTCCTTGGCTATACTTGATTGGTGTTTTCACTTATTAAATGTACTCCTGAATGTTTTTTTTCCCTCACAGCCCACTCTCAGGCAGAGGTTGTGTAGGGTGGTGTCTAATTCATAACAAAGAACTGGGAATTCTGAGTTAGCAAAGAAGCCCTGAAGGCTGGCTCAGTTACCTTTAGATTTACTGTGGTGCAGCTTAAGTTGCTCCCACTGCTATTTTGAAATAAAAATTCAGCATCCAGGATACATAACTTGGGTTTTAGGGTTTGATGTGTATGTTTTCTCCTAACTGTTCCCTAGAGTAACCTTTGGAAATAGGTGTTAAATTTGGTGACACTGTGTTGTGATCCTTGTTCAGCTGTGAGTTTTGAGTCCCATTTTAGCTGACTTACCAATCAGCAACAGTAACAAGTGTGGACATTTACTCCCCCAAAATAGCCATTTCCTCAACAGGAACTGTGCTTCTAAAAGATATGACAAATGAGTTGTGATGCACATTCTCACAGTTTACTTTTTTTTTGGTTGGTTGGTTGGTTTTTTATTTCTGTGGAGCAGGAGGAGAAAGGAAGTGATAAGGGAAGGAGAACTGTCCTCTTTTGGTGAATAGATTTTTCTCCACCTGCTGCTGGGCAGATACATTTTTATATGAAGTAGGAACAATTTCTTTAATAACTGCAGATTAAAAATGTTATGTATCTAGAAATTATGCAGTAGGTGATGTTCAAGGCATCATCTTGATTACATTGTAGCTTTTTTGTTCCAGTGAGAGCTTTTCACTTGGAGGATTGGGAGGTTTACTACCTGTGAAAATGACAGTAGAATAAGTTATTTATAGAATAAATTATTTTCTCTAACTGGAGCCCAAAATATGAAAATATAAACACATAACAAAATGTGATAGGGCTGTTTTTTAAGAAGGAATGATTGTTGCTTGCCATTGTTACCTGGCTTCTGCTTCACTTCAGTGATGTGCAGTTGCTACTCTTGTGCTCCAGGCAGAGCCAGGGAGAATCCACATTTGTATGCAAAGTTCTCAGGGTTCCCAGCAGTGTCTGGTCAAAGCCTGATACTGTCACATGGAGCTGGGTGGTATTTTCAGGATGGACCAACAGATTTCTTCTTAAAGTTGCAGTAGGAGAGCAGGTCACCCCTAAGAGCTCAGATCAAGCTTCAGGCTCTATTTTTAGAGGTGCATACCAGGGGAAAAGGAGAAAATCTCTCAGCTTTCAGGAAAAGGAGCAGTATCTGCATCTCTGAGGTACAGGAGTTTTGAAGTTCCTGAGGGAAGAGTAGCTGGTGAAGCAAAGCATAAAGGCCATGAATGAGTCTTTATTCAGGGAACTTCTCATGTAGCTTCATCCCCATGTTTTACCTCTTGAGAAGGGGTGAACTTGGTCACACAAGACCCCCAGGGAGTTTGAAATTAGATCAAATAGGGTTCAGACTAGAAAGGAACACAGAGCTCTCCTTCAGGGAGGTATATTATTTTTGATGAAGTTGTGATACAGTGGAACTTAAAGGGTCAAAGAACAGCAAGTGGTCATTCAGAACCCATGTAACCCATGGTTAATGATTATAAAGCAGGAGTTAAACAAATCTGGCTTGTACAATAGGAGGTAAAGCATTTGTGGGTTACTTTAAATAACACTTCTTTTTTAAAGGAGCAGTTTGAAAACACTCTTTCATTCTGGAAAAGCCTTCCTGCATTTTAAGCTATGAACTGCCTTGCCCAAATTTACAGGTGACATCAAGAATCCTGTTGAAGAAACTGGAGTTCTAAATGCTGCCAGCATTAAAATTAATAACTCAAGTGTCTCTTTGGGAGCAGAGTGTTCTTTGGATGTATTAATTTTTAAAAATTTTCTCAGACATAGACTTAGAAAAACCCTGGACTCAACTAGTGATCAGTCTGTGTTCTTGTACGTGAGATATTTTCCAAACTCGGTGGATGTTTCTGGAATTATGATCCTTTATCTGTGTAAAATACCAGAAGGTGAGGGCAGGATCACCCAGTGTATAATTCAGTGCAGACATAAATCATCATAATTCTGAGATATGCTCATCAACCCTGCACCTCTGTAGTTCTTGAGATCTAAATCTTGAATTGCCTTGTCTGTTAAAGGTGTTCATGTGTACTTTTCAAATAATAACCAGGTAACCTATAGCTGTGGTTTAAAAGATTAAAGGGCAATTAGTTACCTTTGTGACTCTCAACTATTGAAAAATAGGGAAAAAATCACTTTGTGCTCTTGATGCAGATTACTTAGGATTTATTTTTGTGATATGAATCTTTTCAGAGAAGATTTTTTTCTTAGCCTGAAATATATGTTTTCCTGGTAGAATGACAGCTTAAGACTAGAGAATTCCTCTGTGTCGTGTATCAGAATTTATTCCATTTTGTATTCCATTTTATTTGTATTCCATTTTATTTGTATTCCATTTCAAAAGGGTTTACTATTTCCATTAGAGACTTAGTACAGAGGTGCCTCTATACTTTTTGCTGTCACTGTTTTACCAACTTATTCGTGAAAATATTACGTTGTTCTCAAGATAGAGAAGATCTCTCAGAACTTAAATAAAAGCTAACTTGACTTTTCCCCCATTTTACTTCCAAATTTTATCTTCACAGCATATGGTTCTTCAGTAAACTGAATTTTTAGAAGTAGTTAATTACAATATCATTTGCTTAAAAAAGGCTGAAATCTTTTGAATATACAAGATGCCCTTCTGATGTTTTTTTTTATGAACAGCTCACACTTTCCATTTTGATTAGAATGGTTTAGAGGTTTGTGGTGACTGTGGAACCACCAGGCCACGTGCACATTTCCATACTGTCCATGCCATGTGTCCATGGGATGTTGTCCTGAAGGAGGCAGAGAACATGACCTCCTTTTCCAGCACTATGTTCTCCCTTCTGGAGTGATCGAAGAGGACTTACTGCCTTGTTCAACTTGAAAGTTGGTGCACTCAGATTAACTTTCAAAAGGGTTTGATATTCTGTAATTAAAGTGTGACTTTTCCATCTCTTGATTTATTTTAGGTTTTGAATTTTAAACCAGTGAACAAAAAGTGCAATCCTGGCTAATCAATTGTAAACCTTGAAAATACTTGTCACCTAGAAGTTAAATTACAGGTGATTTAATAGCAAAGCACTCAAGTGTCGTAGATGGAGTTTGAGACCTCCTGTGTAGAGCTCTTCAGCCTCTCTCCAGGGAATAACAAGGGAAAAAGGGATCTATCCATTCAGCTACAGTTGGCTTGAGTTCACACAGTGCAAAGGTCAGAAGGGTTGTATTCCAGGAGCTGGTACTGGCCAAAAAAAACCTGTGTGGTGTGTGGTGAGGAATTCCCATTTTCACCGTAGGATTCCCAGGAATTTTGTAGTCATTTCATCATAATGTTTCATTGATTTTGATTTATAAACTGTCATGATTTATAATGAATTGGGGTTTTTTTCCTGAAATTTTCAACAGGAAAGAAAAAATATATCCAATTCCTTGATGTCTTTGATTTGAAGGAACGTCATAAGCTGTCAGGTTGGTTTGGCAAGCAGTTTGACCCTTCCTGGTAAACCAGTGTTGCTTCATTATTAAGTGCTCTCCTACATCCCACATTACATTCATGTAATGTGATCCATAATTTTTGATGCTGTAGATTTACTTGTCAGTAGTTGTGTTGTGCATTTGGCTCTGGGGAGCCTGTTCTCTGAGTGAATAGCACTGACAGACTGTGCCACTGGAGCAGTCCAGCCATCTGTCCTGGTTGCCATTAACACTGACGTGGGTTTTAAGGAGATGTCTTCAGAAAGGGGAAAGAGTGGCTTGTGACAGGAGCACTTAAAATGTGTTTGACAGGTGGAGCCCTTAGCTATAGCCTGAATTAGTAATGTTGTTTATTGTGACATGGTTATTGTAACTCTGGTACTCTATTCACTTGTGTATCATTTTGTGGGTTTTTTTTAAGTCTTTGTCCTCCATTTTGCTGTCTCTGAAGACAAGATTGTTTTTTTCAGTTGTATTTCCATTGAAGCATAGCAAAGTTAAGCTTTGTGTGAATGTTTGCCTCTATATGGGTTTAGAAAATGCAGACTTCCACTAAAATTCTTACATCACCTTATGGAAGTTGCACAAACACGTGGGTAAAATGGGGAAACCTTGGTCATTCTTGGTGACTGATCTTTTGGTGCTTACTTTCTGCAGGGATTATTAGGATTTGTCCTGCTGTGAGCAGTAAGATCTGTAGATGATGTTGCCCACCTGTTGACAGTTGTTTCCATCCTCAGGACTAATGGCAAAGGAGTGACCCAGCATGGCAGCTATGGTCCCACCAGTGAAGCTGAAATGGCTTGAACATCTCAACAGCTCTTGGATCACCGAAGACAGTGAATCTATTGCCACAAGGGAGGGAGTGTCTGTCTTGTACGCTAAGTTAGTGAGCAATAAAGAAGTAGTGCCATTGCCCCAGCAGGTTCTGTGCCTCAAAGGACCTCAGTTACCAGATTTTGAGCGGGAATCTCTCTCTAGTGATGAACAGGACCACTACCTGGATGCCCTTCTTAGCAGCCAGCTGGCTCTGGCAAAGATGGTGTGCTCAGACTCTCCGTTTGCCGGAGCGCTGCGGAAGCGTCTCCTGGTGCTGCAGCGCGTCTTCTATGCACTTTCTAACAAATACCACGACAAGGGGAAGGTGAAGCAGCAGCAGCACTCCCCAGAGAGCAGCTCTGGCTCCACAGACGTGCACTCGGTCAGCGAGCGGCCGCGGTCGAGCACAGACGCGCTCATCGAGATGGGGGTCCGGACTGGGCTCAGCCTGCTCTTCGCCCTGCTCAGGCAGAGCTGGATGATGCCGGCGGCGGGGCCCGGCCTCAGCCTCTGCAACGACGTCATCCACACTGCCATCGAGGTGGTCAGCTCCCTGCCACCCTTGTCTCTAGCCAATGAAAGCAAGATTCCACCCATGGGTTTGGACTGCTTGTCACAAGTCACGACGTTTCTCAAAGGAGTCACAATCCCGAACTCTGGGGCGGATACGTTAGGTCGTAGATTAGCTTCGGAGCTGCTGCTTGGTCTGGCTGCCCAGCGAGGTGCCTTGAGATACCTTCTGGAGTGGATAGAGATGGCTTTGGGTGCCTCAGCTGTGGTGAACACCATGGAGAAAAGCAAGCTGCTGCAAAGTCCAGAGGGGATGATCAGCTTTGATTGCTTCATGAGCATATTGACACAGATGCGACGGTCTCTGGTAGGCACAGACCAGCTTTGGCTTGTCTGCATTGCAGTGTGCTTGCATTCTTAACTAAATAGTTCCTCAAGACTGAAAGCCAGTTTGCTCAATGTGTTTTAAAAAAGGTTTTTTTTGTGAATTTTTCCCCTCAGTATTTCCTTTGTTGCCCATCAGCTCTTTTCCCCCCTTCCTGCTGACCCATTTCCTCATAGGTAAAGATGGAACAGCAAAGCAGCCCCTGTGTTGTCACTTTAGTCATTGTGCTTTAACTTCAGGGAAAGAATCAAGGACATACTTGATCCACTTGCACTTGTACATTGAAATGCATAGCAAAAAAGTTACAAAGTATGGAACTGTTTTTCTGGCTCGAAATTCACAGTTTTGCCGTACACCTCGTTTCCTGTTCAGTTCTTTTTATTGGACATTCCTGCTCCCCACTTCACTTGGACCTCTGCTTATACATCTTGGGGATGTTCAGCATTTTTGCTGCTGCTCAGAAATTAATTTGATAAGAAAATGTGCTGAATTGGAAGTGTGGCACACTGTTGTATGTGTTGAGTACTTCTGGTCCTAGATGAATGTTCATTCCAAAGCTATGAAATTGTGGCACAGTGTGCAATCAGAAGCTGTGGCAAACTTCTGCCTCATATGCTCAGACTGAAACAGAGAATGACTTTCCCTCAAGTTGGTCATTCTTTTCTCCTCAGGCTTGTATTGCTCGTTAATAAACATGATTTTTAAAATCTAAAAAATGTTTAAGAATGGGGACCATGAGAAGAGCATGACAGTGGCAGTATCTGAATTTGATTGTATGTCCTGATGAGCAACTTTGTTTGTGGTTGGTTTTAGGCTAGATATGAAATTAGAGTCCAAAAGATGCATAAAGATAAAATTAATTATGATTAGTCATTTTTAAATAATTATCACTTTACTCACAAATAACATGCATTTCAGAACAAAACAGTATTAGGAGAAATTAACTCCGAACACAGATATTTTCACAAAACAAATCAGTAAGAATGTTTAAGTAGCCCTTCTGACATCTTTGTTTTCCTGAAGTGTGTGCAGATGTCACAGCTCAGGAAAAGGGGGTGTACTTATGCTTATAACAAAGAGCCCAAATCCCTGATGTGTTTTGCACAGGTGCCCTGTTGCTGTCTGGGAGTATGTTTGTCACAATAACAGCATTTGAATGTTGTAGGGCTCGTCTGCTGACCGGAGTCAATGGAGGGAGCCAACCAGGACATCCGATGGCTTGTGCTCCCTGTATGAGGCAGCTCTGTGTTTATTTGAAGAGGTATGTCTTGGAAAAAAGCATGTAAGGTGATGGTATTTTCCTTCCCCCTCACTCGTGGGGTCGGTGTGAACGTGGGGTGCAGCCCACTCTTGGCTGAGTTACTCTGGAGTAGAAGAAGGGACAAAAACCTGTGGAAAACTAAGATGTAACGAAACAAAGTCACTTGGGCAAGCTCATGATGTGGTGATGGGGATTTGTATTGAGGGGGGGCAGTTAAATGTGCATTAAACATTGTGACTGTGGGGCAAGAAACATCAAGTGCTGCTTGTTTTCACAGGTGTGTCGAATGGCTTCAGACTATTCCAGGACATGTGCCAGCCCTGACAGCATCCAGACTGGGGATGCTCCCATTGTGTCTGAGACCTGTGAGGTGTATGTTTGGGGCAGTAACAGCAGTCATCAGCTGGTGGAAGGCACTCAGGAGAAAATACTTCAACCCAAGCTCGCTCCAAGTTTTTCTGATGCACAGACAGTAAGTGACATTTCTGGTGGTACATCATGTGACATTCAGCAGCTTCACAGCTACAGTGTGAAATTGAGAAATGGGGCTTTATTTCTGAGTGTCAGCTTGTAATGAAGGTCTGATGCTCAGAGCTGATCACACAAGTTATTGGACTGAAAGTATCTCATTGCTTTTATTGATACTTGGAAGAAACATTTTGTTTTGTTTTTACTGACACACACAGATAAATATCCATGTAACAAGAACGACTGCATTACCTAACTTGGTCGACAGATACAAGTTTGTTTGCCTGGAGTGTTTTTTTTTGGTGGTGTTTCTTTGGTTTTGGTTTGGATTTTTTTACTGTTGCTTAAAAGGTGTCTTAACTATTCAATCTTCTTTTCTTTTGGTGGTTTTCACACCAAGGTTGCCCAGTTTAAAAGTCCAGACTGGGCTAACTGCTGACACAGCAACCTTAATTAGCTCTCTGAAAATGAGTGTACATGGTCTTCTGCTCCCAGTCACAGATTCTGCCATTGCAACTGAGCACTTTTGTTGATGCATGGCACAGGATATAATAGTTTGCTTTTCTGTTACTACATTGACTTTGCAGTGTTGACTCAAGTAAAAGCACTTTTTGGTCACTAGACAATTCAGGTGCCTTTTCTGCAGTTGTTTCTATTGACGTCACTGATATATTTGATGTGCCAGTGGACTGCAGGGCTGGGCATCATAAAGAAGTTTATGCATTCAGAAAACTTCCAAAACACTCATACATGAGAGTGGAATGTGAATGAGTGGGTTACTCTTTTATTAATACAGTATGCACCTCTCTAACATATTTATGTGATTTTTTTTTTTCCACTGAGATAAAGATTTTTTTCTTTAGCTTTCTAGCTAAAACAACTGATAATTGTTAATTAATCAAACAATTGATAATTGTTTTAGGGTTGTCTGGATGTTAATTCCCAGTAAATAGGGCTGTGGCTGTTTTATATGTGCCTTTATGCTTCAGATTTGAACCTGCTTGGCACTTAAAGATTCTTGTAGCAAATTATTGCTGGGTTAGTTGATTTGCTGTTGGGTCATTCGTCAGCTGAGCTCTGACTTTCCAATAGAGGCAAGTTCTTATTCTCTTAAAAACTTTTAGTCTTATTTCTTTGATGTTTATGTCGTTAAAATGTTTAGTGTCAAATGAGAATGGAGTTTTAGCATTTGGCTTATTTCTGTAATGTTATCACTTGGTACTGGTTAAAATTAAGCCAGACCTACAGTGCTGTATCAAGCTGTTACTTTTTGGTTTTGCTCTTGACAAATTCAGATTTCCCTCTGTGACTTTTGGAAATCTGAATGCAGCCCGATGTTTTTACATTATGTTGTATGGAAAGGTCATATAAAGAAACCTGACATACTGTTAAAAAAATACAAGCTTCTAGACCTGTATGTGAATTTTGCATTTATCTGATCTCTGTGTTTCACTATTTTAACCTTTTCTTTGTAGATTGAAGCTGGACAATACTGTACCTTTGTCATTTCTACGGATGGTTCTGTCAGAGCCTGTGGGAAAGGCAGTTATGGGAGACTTGGACTGGGTGACTCCAATAATCAGTCCACACTGAAAAAACTGACTTTTGAGCCTCATAGGTCTATTAAAAAGGTGTCATCTTCAAAAGGATCCGATGGCCACACTTTAGCATTTACAACAGAAGGGGAAGTCTTCAGCTGGGGTGATGGTGACTATGGAAAACTGGGACATGGAAATAGTTCAACTCAGAAATATCCCAAACTTATTCAGGGTCCCCTGCAAGGAAAGGTATGTTTGGTACAGTAGAACACCTATTTTTGTTCTGTTCAGTTGTGATGTTGTGTAAAATATGAAATATATAGAATCTTAAGAAGAAGTTGTGTGTTTTTCTAGACCTCTGTAAGCTGGGTCTGCTTTCAGCAAAACACTAGAACTTGTGGTTGCCTCCAGCTTGTGATGTGGACAATGGCATTGTCAGGAAACCTTCTCATAGTCTTAGGAGTAAAACATTCCAGGAAGGAGAGAGTTGCTTTTGGTACTGCAACATCAGGACTTTGACTTACAGCTCCTTAGTGGCTTCATTTGGAAAGTGATTCTGTGTTGTCTTACAGGGCCTTCTTCTCCCTGTCTGTCTGTGTTTTGACCAGTGTTCTAAACATCCACTGATGCTTCTTTTTTCTCCTCTCAGACCAGGATATCATCATGTTAAAGCTGCCTGATAAATAAATCAGTAGCAGTTTTATATAGAAACTTGCCTTTTTATGTATTTATTTCTACTAACCAAATAAGGAATAGGAAAGATTGCAGAGGTTCACTTGTGTGTGGATTTGATCCACATGAATGAACAAGTTAATTTGCATAGACTGCTTCTGAAGCTTGACTCTCAGAAGCTTTCAGACTTCCTGTTTGGTTTGTGTAAAAACTGAATCTTTCTTTTTGCCTGTGCTGCAGGTGGTTGTCTGTGTGTCAGCAGGATACAGGCACAGTGCTGCTGTCACAGAGGATGGAGAGCTCTATACCTGGGGAGAGGGAGACTTTGGGAGACTGGGTAAGTTTAACACTTCAGGGGATGCTTTTGGAAGAATGTCTGTGTCTGGTAATGATTGTGTACATTTATTTGCCTCGTTCTCTAACTGTCCACTCTAAATGCACATCCACACATAATGCAGGTGTGTGCATATAGGTGACTAGTGCAGAGACTCTTAAAAGCTTTTAATGCAGTTAATTTTACAAAGAATTTGTTAAAAATATTTTTAATTTCAGGAGAGGTTGCTTTTATTCATAAGTCTACATATGATTGCTAATGCTACTGAAATGTAAACAGTAGACATTTTAAACAAACTGGAATTCTAGTGTGGTGGGAGGATAGTTCTTTGAACAGTCAGGAATACCTGACTAATAGTATCAAGGGTCTCATTTTAATAATCAGCACACTTTACACTGTTTGCCAGATTGGCTTAATGTCCTTTTACCTTAATGCATCTTAAAAATGCAATTTAACTGAAACAAAAAGCCAGTGTTACTGTTTGCTGCAAGTTGCTGTGTCTGTCTGGTCACCTTTGCTGTACAGCTGCTGTGCCTGGTGGGAAACACCTTCTCCAGCAGGTTCAGTTGAACCAGCAGGTTTTGCATAGAGAAATTGCTTCAGGTTGGGCAAGTTGCTTCAAGTTTAGTTCCTTTCTGTTGTCTTTGCTCTGAATGTGACCATCACCAAGTATAGAGGGGTGAGAGCTAGTAAATGACGGGGCAGAAGACGAGGACAGTGTTTTACAGCTTAAATTGTCACAGTTTTCCAGGGTAATCACTGGAGGTGCTGAGCCTCTCCTTGCTGGGAGAAAAGAACACTGGGTTAGAGGTTTAGCTTACAACTTTGGTGGGAAATGTGGAAATATTCTCCTTGAGAATATTTCTCCTTGACGTGGAGTTCTGATGTGCTTTGGGGGTCTTGGAGTGTGCAATGGTGAGTTCCAGTGCGCAGCTCAAAGGTGACATTTAGTGCATTGTTCATATTTAATCAGTTTTGGATGGACTGTTCTTTTCCCCCTCTTCTCCATTTTTCTTCCATATCTGCAGAATTTCTGCAGTTTCTTAGAGATGAAACATTTTCTGGAACAGGAGATATTGTAATGTCTGGTTTCTGCAGAAAGGCCCAGCTGGGGCTGTGACTGCTCAGGAGACCTGCTGCCCACTGTTAGGATGTATAGCTGCCTAATCAACTGCTATTAAAGGCACTTGTACTAGTAATTCCTTATTTCTTTTTTTTCAGCAAGCTAGAAAATGGCCCTAGGATTCAGTGGCACCTTTACCACAGGTGGCTTCCAAACCTGTCTATGAATCTTTCCACAAAGTGGGCAGAAATTGTCGTTTGTGATGAGCACAGAACACATGGGATTTGCAGAATCTTTATGATTGCAAAAGATAAATAGAACTTAAAGGTTCACAAAAGGCAAACACGTGTTGCTTTTTTTCCATAGGTCACGGTGACAGCAACAGCCGCAACATTCCAACTCTGGTAAAAGATATCAGCAATGTGGGAGAGGTCTCCTGTGGCAGTTCACACACCATAGCTCTGTCCAAAGATGGGAGAACAGTGTGGTCGTTTGGAGGAGGAGACAATGGTAGGTAAAAGTACCATTTTGGTGGGAATTTTGTGTTATTCCGTCTGCCTCAGAGTTTCAGTGCTCCTTGGATTTTGGTTCTGGTTTTTGTTTGGTAGCTGTACAAGAAAAGGGTTCTTATAACATCTGAATACAATATTTGAAGTTTGTCTGCAAGATTATGGAGTTTAAAAAGGATTATGGGAGGGGAGGAGTTTCACAGAGCAGAAAGCTCAGTGAATGCATGAACAATTCAAATGAAAACCCTGTGCTGATAACTTTGAAATAAATTCCCTGGTGATATGACAGTAGCTATTCACATCCTAGAAACTGTTGCATTTTAACTGCCTGGGATTAATATTTCAATTTTAAAATAAACTGTCACGAATATATATTTCCTTGAGACTGTAATTGAAAGAGAATAGGTTTTGTAAAAATTGTAACAGGTTTTAATTTTAAAAATCCACTCTGACGTTTTTGGTTATCCAAAAAGAATTCTTTGTGGGGTACTTCTAATTGTTATTTATCCATGGAAAATACCTTGCAGTTGTGTTTCCTCCTTTTGTAGGCAAACTTGGTCATGGTGATACAAACAGGGTATATAAACCTAAAGTTATAGAAGCCTTGCAAGGAATGTTTATTCGAAAAGTTTGTGCTGGGAGCCAGTCTTCACTTGCCTTGACATCAACGGGGCAGGTAGGCAAAAATCAGTTTTCACTCCAAATATGAGAGTTGGTGGAGATGCTGTGGGTTCACATTACTTCAGCTTTTATTGCTTTGACTGTTGAGAAAATGTTCAATTAGTACTTAAATAACAGTGAAGTTCTTGGTTAGAGATTGAGGTTTCTACTGTGCTGGAGTAATTCAAAATGTGCTGAAGAGTCATGTGAAAATACACTTTTTCAAGATCCTTGCTTAGCCAGAGAAAATGTGTTATTTTTAGGTTAATAAAAATAACCAGTGTAAAAATCAAATTGGATCCAGGACACAAAAAGCAGCGAAATCCTTGTAATTCTTAATGCATGAACCAACTCAGGTGATTAGGTGATTGAATAGGGTTTTTTTTTAAAATGTATGTGTATTTTAGAACATAGGCGTTACCCAAAGTTTTATTTCTGATCTGAAAAGCTCAGGAGGTGTCGGAGGTGAACGTTGGGGTGGTTGTGTTGCTTTGCTCCAGGTGTACGCGTGGGGCTGCGGGGCCTGCCTGGGCTGCGGCTCCTCCGAGGCCACTGCTCTCAGACCCAAACTCATCGAGGAGCTGGCTGCCACAAGGATAGTGGACATTTCCATTGGGGACAGTCACTGCTTGGCACTTTCTCATGGTAAGAACAACAAGGTGTAAGATACATCGTCCTCCTCTCGATCCAAAGCGGTTGGATCTCAGGTTTTGGTTTCTACTCTGTTTGCGTTTATAGATAATGAAGTTTATGCTTGGGGTAACAATTCAATGGGACAGTGTGGTCAGGGAAACTCCACTGGTCCCATCACCAAACCGAAGAAAGTAAGTGGTTTAGATGGAGTTGCAATCCAACAAATCTCAGCAGGAACATCCCACAGCCTTGCCTGGACAGCTCTTCCAAGGGACAGGTAACGATGACACTGGGGACAGGTATCATTTGCTTTTTATACAAGTCCACTTTGGGATACATTTAACTACTCCCTGAAGGTGTTAACCACACCATGTGTTTCAAGTATTATGCTTGTAATGTTTTGGGCTGGAGAGTCTTCCTTCCTCTCCTCTCCTCTTCCCTCTCCTCCAGTTGTTGCATATTGCAAGTGAAAATATATCAGCACCAAGGATTTGGGTATTAGTTCTTTGTGTATAAGGATTTCTTACCTGCTGTTAGACCTCTGTTTACTAAAATTTTGAGAAGTTAGGCAGTGGGAGTTGAAACAACTCAGTATTTATTCTTGCTTCTGAAGGGACTTCTTATGGCTTAGGAAGTTTCCTGTAGTGTAACAAGGAGTGCACTAAGCAGGAGACTTTGGGAAAGGGGAAGTTCAGACAAGTTGCTGAGGTGGATTTAAACATCTTAAAAAAATTCTGTATGGTTACCTGTTAACCTAAACTGAAACCAGGTACCTAAATAAATAGTTTGGTTATTAATGTACAATAAGTGAAATAATACTTTGTTACACCAAAGACATGAGCAAGTGATTGAAGTGAACCAGTATAGTTTTACATATGAACTAACACAAAGGGATAGAAAAGCTTAATATTTGGAAGATAATTCAAGAAGAATTTCAAGTGCCCTGTTTTCACAGGAGCTATCAATTCAGAAAATAGTGAGACTTAAACAGTACTAAGTGGCACTACTGCTTCTGAGCTCTCCCTGCATTGTGTCAAGGTCTCTATAATCTGACATTTGTACTAAAACCAGCTTTGTGAGTACTGGGCAGCCTTTGCACGAGTCAGATTAAATACATATGGCTTCATATTAATAGCATTGTAGGTGTTCCTGTTCTTTAGAATGTTTTTTTTCTAGAGAGTTTTACAGCGAAGAGAGCAGAAAATACCCCCGAGGGTCAGGAAGTTAGTCTGCCATAGTCATATTGGTTTGTTCTAAGGAAAAAACTGGTTAAGTGTGTGTTGAACCTGCTTGAGCTGTTAATTTATTAAAGCAGCTGGAGTATTTCCAGAGGGTGATCTCCTTTGGTTGTGATTGCAGGCAGGTTGTGGCGTGGCACAGACCCTACTGTGTAGACCTGGAAGAAAGTACCTTCTCGCATCTTCGCTCTTTCCTCGAGCACTACTGTGACAAAATCAACAGTGAAATCCCCCCTCTTCCTTTTCCTTCCTCAAGGTACACACAGCATGTGCTTGTTACAGATTTTTATAATTATTTTGTTTTTCTTTACAGCAGTGGTGCTTGGCTTAGTCTTGGTTATTGTGTTCTTTAACAAGCATAAGTCTGGTTTCCTTGCTCCTTCAGGAGCTCTGCTGTGCCCCAAACGTAGCAGGATCTTTTGCCTGGAGTTTATTTTCATTATGCACTGAATTAAATGCTTTATTTCAGAGTTTTTCTTTGAAACACATTTTTCTATGTAGTTGAAAGGCATTTACTGTTTCTGCTTTGTTAGTTCTTACTCCTTTAACAGTTTTTCAGAAGTTTTTTACAAAGACTAGAAATTAATACCCTGACCTTTTGTTTTTAACCCAATTTTTGTGCTCCTGAATCTTCTGAGAGAAGATTACATTTATTACTTCTTAAAAGTTATTTTTCTTCTCTATGAATAATACATTTGCCTCTTTGTGTATTTTTGGATGATTTTGCCTCCTGATTCATGGGACTGCATTTCTAAAGTGGATGCCTCTTGGAACCATTGTCCACAAAGACACTTCTCCATTCTAGTTTTGGTTTTTGTTCTTTTAAGCACATTGGCAGAAGGTTCTCAGAGGAGGTTCTTCCAACTCCCAGCTGTAATTTACTTATCTTTTCTGGTACAAAATATCAAAGGCGAGTTGAAAGCTTAGTGCACAAATAAGTGAAAAGGGAGCAGGAGAGATTAACAGGGATGTATTTCTTTTTGCAGGGAACACCACAATTTTCTTAAATTGTGTCTGAAGCTGCTTTCTAATCACCTTGCACTTGCACTGGCTGGGGGTGTAGCCACCAGCATTCTGGGCCGCCAGGCTGGGCCTCTCCGAAATCTCTTGTTTAGACTGATGGACTCTTCTGTCCCTGATGAAATTCAGGAAGTAAGTCATGCTCTGTGGTTTGCCTGTGAAAATTGTGCTACTCTCTCTTCTTTCTTTCTTTGTGCAATTAGAGAGATATCTGACTTTCAGCAGTTGGCCCTGTGATAAACGTGAGTCTGACTTAGCGGTTTTACTCGTGACAGGTAAAACCTGCAGTCACCATCACTGTTTTGTGATGTGAAAGCAGAGGAGAATGTTTGCAGAAGAATGTCAGAAAGCTGCTTTATTTTGTAACTTTTAAATTAGTCTTCCTTGCAGTAATGAGCCTAAAATGTTAGTGTTGTGGATTGAGTCATTAACTGAGTTGAGTAATTCTCCTAAGATGTACTCTTACAGGAAACAGCAGCTTTTGTTGCTCTCATTTCACTTCTTCAATGTACTGCATGTCTTTGCATCACAACATGAAACATTAGTGTGCTATTGTGAGATAGAACTCTGATGTTCAATGAAATTAAGCAAGATGTTTTGGATATATCATGGATGATGTGCTGTGTTTTTTAAAGATACAAGTGAGTTGATTATCTCCCCCTTCCTTACTGAAGAAGTATTTTCTGCTGCTCTAATTTTAGGTTGTAATTGAGACTCTGTCAGTAGGAGCAACTATGCTGCTTCCTCCACTGCGAGAGAGAATGGAATTGCTCCATTCCCTTCTCCCCCAAGGTCCTGATAGATGGGAGAGCTTATCAAAAGGACAGGTAAGGTCAGGTAAAAATATGCCATGCTTTGAAAGCAGCTGTGGTTTGCTTTGGCTTTTTCTGCTGGAACATTGTGAACTGAGGTGAACCTTGTTTTCAGAGTGCCAGCACATTCCTGGTAAGGTGCAGAGCAAAGCCCAGCATAATAAAACCTGGGGGTAGCCTGGCTAAACCAGAGTCCAGTGAGACAGGGAGCACTGCATGTTGGCTGCTTAGGAATTGCTGTGTCAGCATATCCAGACAAGTATAAAGAGCAGATATTTTTTAATTTGGATTTAACTATTTAGATTTAACATGTCTTGGAAACAGAAAATTATTTCCTGTGAAGAATACTTGTATAATGCTTTTGCTACATGGATTTCACCCTCCTTTGCAAAGATGACTGCAATGTTCCTTTTGTCTTTTTCCTTCTTGAAGGAAGGAAATTTCTGGTTTTTTCCAAAAAACAGGAATTAATGCAGGTTAGGATGGTTGCCCAGTATCCTACAAAAGGAGGGAAAAGGATTCAAGGAACATCTGTTCCTGTCCTTGAGAGCAGTAGGAACTGAAACTTCAGCAGTAGTCTCAGACTGAAAGAATGAGCAAAAGTACTGTTCAGTTCTGTGCACACAGGATCCTGGTCAAGTCCTGTATTTTATACACTAAGGAGGAGACTGGCTTACACTTGATACTGAAACTATGAAGCAGAATCTTCTGATTCTGATTTTCTAAAGATTTGTGAAGATGAGTATTGGTACGAACTAACCCCCCTGACAATTACTAGGGCAGAACAAGTTTAGGTTTTCCAGCAGCAGTGGGGAGCAGCACTGAAGGTGAAGGTCATTACTCTTCATCTGCCACCTCTCTTGGTCTCATGTGTGCTTGTTCTACTTTTTACCCTTTTTCCAATGTGCAGCCTAGAAAAATGGTGTGTCCCCCACCAACTCCCCAAATAGTCAGATAAGTCCAACAAACTGCAGAAAGCATTTAGTCCAGTGTCTAATATCTTCCTCTTAATCTCAGATTTTACTAGGTATGGTCATCTAATTGATATATTTATCTGTTCTCTAATACTACAAATCTGCAGGAAAACCTGGAGGTTTTTGGAAAAGTCCTCCAGCTTATTTCTCTGTCCCGTTACAATATTTCCATTGTAACTACGTCTAATCCTTTTTCCTTCATAGCTCCTTATTTATTCTGTCCTCATTAACAGTGTTTTTTGTGCCTTTAAACATTTTTCTTTAGAGAATGCAGTTGGACATAATTCTGACAAGCTTGCAGGATCACACCCACGTGGCTTCCCTGCTTGGCTACAGCTCCCCCTCAGATACCACCGAAACCTCCTCGCTGTGTATCAGCTATGGAAACCTCTCTGATCAAACATATGCTGTGCAGAGCAGCCACCCAGACACTCACCTGGCTGAAATCTTAATGAAGACTCTGCTGAGAAATCTGGGATTTTATACAGTATGTATAGGCCTTGTAATTAATTGATTTATTTTTAAAATTGTAATGAATTTTGGATATGTAGAAGGGTTAATTTTTTTTTTCTCCATCTCAAGAAAATGGTGCTCTTTTTCTTTTATTCAAAGTAGCAGTGCAATATGTATTTGTCCTGAAGTGGACTAAAATCAGTTAAATCATCTCTAACAATATGTTTTTTGTGTTATTATAGTGGTATTTATTGTTTAAGATGACTTATGTAACTGCAGCTGCTTTCATATCAGACTGTTTTATTGCTCTTGCTTTGGCTTCGAAGTTTTTGGCAGATAGAATGTAACACAAGAAGTGCATGGAATGTTTTTAGTCAGTATAATCTCAGCCACCAGGGAACAATAGGCAGACACCAGGAGCATGAATCTGTCTAATTAACTTCACTAGGGTTATTACCTTATGCTTATTACCTGACTGAACATCTTATGCGTCAACCCCCAGCAGATCCTAAAAATTATTACTTATTTTAACATACTGTGATTTGGGGGCCAGGTTAGGGAGTGGGTTTTTTCACCCAGTTAGCCTTGGGGAGTTGAATAAAAACATTGCTGCCTCTGAAAGAAACCTTTTCAGAAGAGAAGTGTTCACTTGACAGCCATCAAAATCACTACTATGACTTTCTAAACAAGTGTAATTTTAGCTGTGGTTATCCCATGATCCACTGGCACATAGTAAAGATAATAAAAGTTTCTTTTTAAGATGATTGTCAGGTTTCATGGCATTTGAAACCCAGTTAATTGTTCTTTTTCTCCCCCTCCTTTTTGTCTTAATAGGACCAAGCCTTTGGAGAACTGGAAAAAAACAGTGATAAATTTTTACTAGGTACATCATCATCAGAAAACAGCCAACCTGCTCATCTTCATGAGCTTTTATGTTCACTGCAGAAACAGCTGCTGGCTTATTGCCACATCAACAGTGTCAGTGAGGTGTGTGTCCTTATTTTTATCATTTAGGAGAGAAAAAACTAATTCAGCATTCATAAGCATCAGAATGTTGTAAGGCTCCTCTTGTAAATCTGAGTATTTGAAAGCTAAACTAATTTAAATAACCCTTTAAATATATTTACAGACTTATTCTTAGTTGGTTTGTTTCCTTCTAGAATTCCAGCAGTGTGGCTCTGCTCCACAAACACCTCCAGCTTTTGTTGCCTCATGCCACAGATATCTATTCCCGTTCTGCAACACTGCTGAAGGAAAGCTCTTGGAATGGTAGTGTTGGGGAAAAACTGAGAGGTAAGTCTTCATGGAAAAATCAGTATTGATGGCTCTGTAAGCTTAGATTTGAATAACAAAATACCTTGTTTTTCCTGTATCTGCATAAAGTGGACATCCCAAGCGTCCCCCAAAAGAGGAGATTAGGTGTCCACCCAGGGATAGCATCTGGTTCATGTTTTTAATACAACATTTGACATACAGGGAAAATACAGAATGGAGAAGACATTGAAACAATAATGCACAGAGGCAGTTTTGTTAATTCTAGATTTCTCTTTTAAAAAGTGCTGGTTTTGTGATCACTGAAAAGTGTGTTAGTAAAATACGAAATAAATTAGGAATTGTTAAACCCATCAATTCAAGATGTACCATGGAGACATTTTGAGAAAGCTGAGGTATTTTATGCAATTCTTTGCCTTGCTAAATGGCCTTGTTGTGCTTGGAATATAACTGTATAACTGTAATTCAGCTTTGCTTTCCCCCCTGCAGATGTGATTTATGTCTCAGCTGCTGGCAGTATGCTCTCCCAGATTGTCAACTCCTTGCTGCTGCTGCCAGTGTCGGTAGCCCGGCCCTTGCTGAGTTACCTGCTGGACCTGCTGCCACCTCTAGATCGTCTCAACAGGCTGCTGCCTGCTGCAGCCCTTCTGGAGGATCAAGAGTTACAGTGGCCTCTTCATGGTGAGTGTAATAACATGCTTTTCATCTGAAAAGTAAAGAATGGCACCTTTTTGTAGTGGAAGTTTAACTTTCCCTTTTAAGATGGCTTTTTTTTTTTAAGCTGTGTATCTTGCTACATCTCCTTTTCCGTTTCCTGAATGTATTAATGGCCCTTGCTGTGAAATACTTTTTCTGCTTTAATTGAGTGCAGTTTCCAGTTGTTTCCTATATCTGTACATGTTTATCAGAACACAAAGAAGTGTGTATTGGACAAAATACTCTTGGGCAGAGTTTGAAGGAGCCTTTCCTTCGTGAGCAGCTGTGCCAGGAATGGTGATGGCCTGTGCTGCTGCTGCAGTTACCATGTTAAGTGGCCTCTTAACAGCCTCTTACCTGCTGTTCCTTCAGTTGATTGAGGGGAAAATCTGCCACTGACAGGGAAATATGAACAAGATCTGTTAATTTTGCTGATTTTGGAACTGTGCCTGATTTGAGAACGGATCCTTTCAGGTGGCCCTGAGCTGATCGACCCTGCTGGAGTGCCCCTGCCACAGCCTGCCCAGTCCTGGGTGTGGCTCGTTGACCTGGAGAGGACGGTGGCCTTGCTCATTGGGAGGTGCCTTGGGGGGATGCTCCAGGGCCCCCCCGTGTCCCCTGAGGAACAGGACACAGCCTACTGGCTCAAAACTCCACTCTTCAGTGATGGGGTGGAAATGGATATTCCTCATTTAGGTAACTGTGAAATGCCAGTGTCTCCTGGTCGTTGTCAATATCTGTGATCCGTTTGGAAATTTCTGGTGATGTTTTGAACGGGTCTGTGCACTCAGGGGTTGTCTTCCAGCGTTGGTGTGTGTTTGTGGAGTAATGCAAAAAGTTGCAAAGTGGATGTTTAAGTGTATGATGTTGTTTACAAAGGGTCTTGGAAATGCACAGGGAAGAAAAAATCTGCAATTTCTCAGTGAAAGAACACAGACTTCACTGAGTTAATTTTAAGTGTTTTACTCTTAGATGCTCAGCAGTGTTTAACAGGCACACCAGAGGCTCAGTTTTTCATATTAATTATTGGAAAATATTATCTTACGTTCTACTTGCAAAGTGAATTTTTTATTAATTAGGAACAATACTATTAATAACAAACTTCAGTCTTGATGATCTACCAGCACTGGTAACAACTCAGCATTAATATTCTAGTCATCCCTTCCTATCTGAACAGTGCCCTTGCTTCTGCTTCTTTGTGGCCTCTTCCTTAGTTCACATCTCTGTTCCCATCCTCTCTGGTTCTGAGTAGACTTCAAGACTTATTTACAAAACACAGTAACTGCAAGCTGTGCAGTTCAGGTGGACTTAATGATACAGATTTATGCTATTGAAGCGGAGCTGGAGAATGTTTCTAAATCTCCATAGATTTTATGTAAATTGTAACTCTTAAGTCACTTTCCTGTCTAATGTAAATTTGTTGTAGGACAATGAGATGTCTTGATTTTTTTATTTTTTTTTTAGCTAAGTGTAGAGTGCTTTTAGGTAGATGTATATAATCCTCAACATTTGCAGAGTTTAATTTCTTGGGTATTTCCCTTCTGTCAGACAAATGCATGAGCTCCTTGTTAGAAGTGGCCCTGTCTGGAAACGAGGAGCAGAAGCCCTTTGACTATAAGCTGAGACCTGAGATTACAGTCTATGTTGATTTGGCCTTGGGTTGTACAAAAGAGCCAGCCAGGAGCCTCTGGATCAGTATGCAAGACTATGCTGTTAGTAAAGGTAAGGTGTTGAAAATGTATGTGTGTTAAAAGCATATTACATATATTACATGCCTCAACTACACTCCTAGGACAGTCCTGGATTTTGGTTGGCAACAAGTTTTAATTCTGCAAAAGGAAAAATAATTTATTGTTATGTTCCACAATCTCTCTTCTGCTGTTTCTCTTTCTTTTGAAGTTGATTTCAGTGTTTGTCAAACATGTAGTTCAGTGTTGTTTTTCCCCCTGACCTGGTAAGAAGAAACTCTTGTTTGCTTACTCAGTTGTTGGTTTTTCTGTTTTCCGAGGAGAGCAGGGTAAAACTGACAATTAAAAAGGAAAATTAATGGGGAGGAGATGGGGAAAGGCGAAGTAACTTGCAAAATATGTTGGGAATGGAATGAAGTCACCCTTTGTTTGTCAAGTCTCTGGGAGGCTGACCTTACAGTGTTAATAGTTCCTCATGCTTATAACCTAAAATCTGGGTTTTCCTGCTCAAGCTTTCCAGGTTCCTTTTAATGACCTCCACTAAATATTGTTGTTGTACTGTAACTCTGCAGTATCCAGAGATAATTTTCTGTAGCTCTGGCCAAGCTGAGCGGGATGAAGAAAACAGCAAGTGGCCTGTTGAGAGCAACACAGAGGGTTCTTTTAGAGAATTCCACAGGAGTGGGAATTCCAGTTAAAAAACCTACTGGTTATCAGTTTACAAAATCTGAGATGAGTGGGCTGATATGTGTAATTTTGGCTGTGGAGCTGGGCTCTTCAGGAGTTGATGTGGTTCTGCTCTTCACAGTGCAAGCTGACTGAGGAGCAGATATGTTAGATAAACTGTGTGTGGCCAGGTGAGCTTTTGTCATTTCTACAGCAGTTTGCAAGGATTCATAGATAACATTTAATAGAAAAAGATATTTAGATTAAAAGATACTGTTAAGGGAGTGGGACAGTATTTTCCCCCCCCTGTGGAAAATGATGGTGCTTTGTGGAGGTTTGCTTGGCAGTTTGGCTATTTTGTAGTCGAGTAAAAAGAACCATTATGAAAATAAGATCGAAATGGGGAAAAGTTCTTTTGAAATTAGGGGGTCAGTTCCTGAAAATACTGGTTAAACCTTCATTTCAAAACCTGAAAATCTCTTGGTAATAGTAGCAGTGAAGCTTGTGCTTTTAAGCTTGAGCAGTTGGCCTTCCTGCTGGAGATAAGGCTTTTCCATCATAAGCAAAACTGTGAAATGATGCTGGAATGTGGTTTCAAACATGTGTAAAAGAGCAGCAAGTCTCAACTACTGTGTGTTTCTAAACAAGATCCATGTGCATTTGTGCCCAGAAGAGAACAGCTACAGTTTGCTATTGTTACTTGAAAGACAGATTGCACCTTAGTTTCTGCTCCCTGCTCTCTGGTTGGCAGTGTGTGTACACTCTGGCTCTCTGGTGGCAGTGTGTGTGCACACCCTGGCTCTCTGGTGGCAGTGTGTGTGCACACCCTGGCTCTCTGGTGGCAGTGTGTGTGTACACTCTGACTCTCTGCTGGCTCTCTGGTGTGCACACCCTTGGCCATCAGACTGAAGGACCTTGAGCAGCCAAACCCACAGTGGTCTGAAGTGACGTGTGTGTATGAGTGAGTGATGGTGAACATTTCTTAAGCATTGAAACTACTGCTAAATTGAAGGATTTAAAGGGGTGAAGATTTTTTTTATGATGTCACTGAAAATACTTTTGTTTGTTGGGAACAGCCAGTTCTGATGAATCCTTTCTCTTTTCAGATTGGGATACTGCAACTTTAAGTAATGAATCACTCCTAGACACTGTGTCCAGATTTGTTCTTGCAGCTCTTCTGAAGCACACGAGTTTGCTTAGTCAAGCTTGTGGTGAGAGCAGGCAAGTCATTTAAAGCTGCTTTTAAAAGTTCAGTTGAATTCTTGAAAGGCAGTTTGTGTGATTTTTTTTTATTTTTTTTTTTTTTCTGGCTTGGGTCTCTTTTTTGGCAGGTACCAGCCTGGCAAGGCCCTGGCAGAAGTTTACCGTTGCGTGTACAAGGTTCGGAGCCGTTTGCTTGCCTGCAAGAACATGGAACTCATTCAGACCAGATCATCCTCAAGAGACAGATGGGTAAGGCTGGAAATCTCCTTTCAGTTCTTCAGGCTCTACTGGGTATTCAGAAAATATGACAAAATGTTGGTTTCGTGTCTGTTGCTGGTATTTTCGTTGTGTCTTGTTGAAATCTTTCAGGAGTTTTCAAATGAAAATGGGCAGAGTATAATGAGGAGTCTGTTTGTGGTACATGTGATGCTGAATCAGTTGGAGCCAGGGGTTGATTGGCAGCATTTGGCTGGAGCACAGCCTTAGGCCTGGCTTTCCCTGTGACCGTGGCTCTGGTGTGCTGGGCCATAAAGGCCTGGAGCTTAGATGGAGATGGCTTAGCTGTGTTGGACAGGCCACAGCTTAGTCTGGCTGCCATGCCTGAATCCAGCTGAGTTCTCTGGGCCTCTGATCTCTGTACCTCTCTCTTCCCCTTCCCTGCCTTACTCACCTCTTCTTCCTTCCTCCCTGCTTGGATTATGTCCTAACATTGCTTTACTGTGGCCTGTCCTTGTCAGCCCTACATGATTGTGTGCCATTGCATTCTGCCCTGCAGGAATGCAGCCAGCACGGCGGCAGCCTTGGAATCATTTCATTAAGCCAGGTCAGATTTGATGATGGAAATGTTCATGGAATTACTCCAGGTTGGGGCCTGTTTGGCATTACAAAGTACTCCTCAAAGCTGGATTCAGGTTTCTGTGATAGGATTTTTAAGCAAGATATTTTTAACCAACAAAATTCTAATGTGACATGAGGATTAAGAGGCTTTTTGGCTATGTTATAAAGCATTAGTGATGCTCTTTAAAACCATGTGCTTATGTTGCCTACTTAATTAATACTGGGGATATGTGTCTGGGCCACTTGCTTTCTCAGGTTAGGGGTCTGACATGTCTGCAAGACATTCAGCACCTCTGAAAGCATTGGGTGTGCTCAGGAAGTTCTCCCAGAAGTCTTCACAGTTACTGTGCAGATGCAGCACAGCAAATCTGATACACGTAGTACATTTGTTGTTTCAGATTTAATAGTATTGGGAAAAAGTGTCTGGTTTGCATTTGCATGGCAAACACAGGCTTGAGGATAGAATGAAGAGGGCAAATAAGCCAGAGAAATGGTGACCATGATGTGCTGCTATCAAGACCACCAGGTTTTTTCTGCAGATAAATTGTGTTGGTGGGATGCTTTTCCTCCAAGTTTTGTAGGATTAATTATCTTCTAAAGTATTCCAAAACCTCTGTTGTAACTGCATGTTTTCAAGCTTTGCTTTCTTGGGACTGTTTAGAGCTGCTTCCTGCATTGGAAAATTATCTGTTGGGTAATATGTATTTTGCTGGTCAGCACTTCTATCCTCAGATTAAGGGAAAGCATCAACTCAACTATATCCACTCAATCAGAAAAAAATTTAAATTCAAGTTCTAAGACCATTAAGCTTCCTGTGCACCTCATATGCTAATCTTTGGGATGTAAATCTGGTAATTTCATGGAAATAAAAGGGAGGAAAAGAACTGCAAATGCAGAACTGTTAAGAAGAAAAATGAGAACATATTTACTGTCACTTTAAGGAACAATCTTATCCATCAAATAAGTTTTATCGTATTCATGTTCTTTTTAAGGGAATAATTTTTATGATTCAACAGGATGACTTTCCAAAGGCTTTGATGCTGAAGTGTCAGAGTTTGACAGTAGACTCTTCAGTAAGCATTCCAAGGAGGCATTTTTATGTAGGGTTCTCACATTCCACCTGGACAGGGTTTCTGGGCACAATAAAGGAAATGTGTCCAGAAATATCCAGAAAGTCAGTAGTGTTACATGCACAAATAAGTAGGAAGATGATGATTATTTCACTGGACTTCCAAGGAATCTGCTCCTGCCATGCAGAGTTCAGTTGGTGTCCTTGATACCTTGCTGCTTCTAACTGTTGATACCAATGAAGGAAGTATTTAGGTTTACCTCTGCCTTTCCAAAAGGGAATTGAATCTTTAAAAATAAAATTATTAAATCAAGAGAACTTAAGGTCTTTGGACAGAGATGAGGAGATCTCTCACAAAGCTTCTTTAGAGGAATCTGGCACCTCAGACAACAGCAGAATTCAGTAAAGTGAAGGCTAAGAATTTTAGTAAGATCTTCATTGTTCTGCCCAAAGCTAATAAAAGCCTGGAACTGTTTCAGTATTGACTTGAAGATACACTGGAGTCTGAAATACAGATTTACAGAAGCATTACTTTTATAGGTCTGCTAAAAGGCAAACATGAAATAATCTCTCTCTCTTTGATGCCATCCAAACAGGAGTTGGGTTGCAGTAAGACACTGAAAGAGTGTTTGGTGTTCTGTCAAAGTGCATTGTCCTCTTCATTTTAAAATTAACATTGTGTAAATGCTTCATTTGACCTGTTTGCATTACTTCTTTGATGGCATTGTATTATTAATGTATTCTTTTACTGTTGGAAAAATATTGGTTGTTCTTTGTAGCGGGGCAGTTTTTGGCCTGAGATGTAGATGAATATTTTATTCTCTGTAGCTTTGTCTAGAAGTTAAGACCTTCTTTTTGTGTTGCATGTTACAGAAATATTTCAATGTTTCCTATCAGCCCGTGAAGTAGCTCGCAGTCGGGATCGGGATAGGATGAGCACTGGGACAGGGACTAGACTTGATGATCCACCCCCTCAGTCTCAGCAGGAAAGGAGGATCAGCACAGATCTGACAGAAGGCCAGGATGTGTACACTGCTGCCTGCAACTCGGTGATCCACAGGTGTGCCCTGTTGATCCTGGGGGTGAGCCCCGTCCTGGAGGAGCTGCAGAAGCGCCGGGAGGACGGGCACTCCCAGCAGCCGCCCCCGGCCACCCCCGAGGGCATCGGGCTCATGACCAGGTGGGCTCTGCTCCTTGTGTATCTCTGCTCCCTTCATCGCTGATTGAACAACCTCAGCTTTCCCCTGAGGATTCTTACAGTTGTTTTAGAAGAACCCTTTTGCTTAGAGCAGTGTTATGCTCAGTTTTTACTCAATTTTCTTTGTCCACGTTGACTAAAACTTCAGAGTTTTATTCTGTGTGCACCCTATTTAAGTTTCAAAGCTGGGCTTAGTGGTGAATAGTTCAGACCATCAGGTGGTCTGAACATCATGAGGTACTTGGAAAACCTATTTCTTTTTCCTATAATTTGTGTTTGGATTTTTTTATTGCCATATTTGTGTTGACCCTTACCAATGTCCAGAAAGTCAGTAGTGTTACATGCACAAATAAGTAGGAAGATGATGATTATTTCACTGGACTTCCAAGGAATCTGCTCCTGCCATGCAGAGTTCAGTTGGTGTCCTTGATACCTTGCTGCTTCTAACTGTTGATACCAATGAAGGAAGTATTTAGGTTTACCTCTGCCTTTCCAAAAGGGAATTGAATCTTTAAAAATAAAATTATTAAATCAAGAGAACTTAAGGTCTTTGGACAGAGATGAGGAGATCTCTCACAAAGCTTCTTTAGAGGAATCTGGCACCTCAGACAACAGCAGAATTCAGTAAAGTGAAGGCTAAGAATTTTAGTAAGATCTTCATTGTTCTGCCCAAAGCTAATAAAAGCCTGGAACTGTTTCAGTATTGACTTGAAGATACACTGGAGTCTGAAATACAGATTTACAGAAGCATTACTTTTATAGGTCTGCTAAAAGGCAAACATGAAATAATCTCTCTCTCTTTGATGCCATCCAAACAGGAGTTGGGTTGCAGTAAGACACTGAAAGAGTGTTTGGTGTTCTGTCAAAGTGCATTGTCCTCTTCATTTTAAAATTAACATTGTGTAAATGCTTCATTTGACCTGTTTGCATTACTTCTTTGATGGCATTGTATTATTAATGTATTCTTTTACTGTTGGAAAAATATTGGTTGTTCTTTGTAGCGGGGCAGTTTTTGGCCTGAGATGTAGATGAATATTTTATTCTCTGTAGCTTTGTCTAGAAGTTAAGACCTTCTTTTTGTGTTGCATGTTACAGAAATATTTCAATGTTTCCTATCAGCCCGTGAAGTAGCTCGCAGTCGGGATCGGGATAGGATGAGCACTGGGACAGGGACTAGACTTGATGATCCACCCCCTCAGTCTCAGCAGGAAAGGAGGATCAGCACAGATCTGACAGAAGGCCAGGATGTGTACACTGCTGCCTGCAACTCGGTGATCCACAGGTGTGCCCTGTTGATCCTGGGGGTGAGCCCCGTCCTGGAGGAGCTGCAGAAGCGCCGGGAGGACGGGCACTCCCAGCAGCCGCCCCCGGCCACCCCCGAGGGCATCGGGCTCATGACCAGGTGGGCTCTGCTCCTTGTGTATCTCTGCTCCCTTCATCGCTGATTGAACAACCTCAGCTTTCCCCTGAGGATTCTTACAGTTGTTTTAGAAGAACCCTTTTGCTTAGAGCAGTGTTATGCTCAGTTTTTACTCAATTTTCTTTGTCCACGTTGACTAAAACTTCAGAGTTTTATTCTGTGTGCACCCTATTTAAGTTTCAAAGCTGGGCTTAGTGGTGAATAGTTCAGACCATCAGGTGGTCTGAACATCATGAGGTACTTGGAAAACCTATTTCTTTTTCCTATAATTTGTGTTTGGATTTTTTTATTGCCATATTTGTGTTGACCCTTACCAATGTCCTATGTAGTAGTGTCAAAAAAAATTGTAGTGTCTGTTTAAAACAAAAGTTTCAAAGCCTGTTATGATAAAAGTGTTGTTCATGTTTGATTTTTATAAGTATTCCTAACATGGACGTTGGTAAGACACTATTATTAGGTATAGGAGAGAAAGAAATTAAGCCAGGCAGCTCATTGAATGGGAAAAAGAGCTTAATTTAAATAGTATAAGTACTACATCATCTATTTTAAATTTTGTAACCAGAGATATTCTTGGCAACACAGTTTTATTCTAAACTTGACTCACTGAAACTTTTTTTCTGGCAATCTTTATGTTTAAAGTAGAATATAGCACAGGAATTGTGTAGGTGATGCTACTAGTCTGAGTCTTCTTATGCTTCTAGTGTACAGAAACTCTATTTGGTATTTTAAATTAAGTTATTGATGTGGAGTATAGAAGAGGATTATATATATTCAGTACCCTTTTATTCTTTTTGCCTCTTTTTGGAGATCTAGTCCCTAAAGCATGGGTGGCTGCCTCTGTCATTGTCAAAGTGCCTTTCATCTCCAGCATATCAACTTTAGGATGCATTTTATGGGTGGGTTTTGAATAAGTTGAGTGCTTTGTCACCCACTTACTCTGTGTTTGTTTTCCTGTGCTCTCAGCTCAGAGTGTTTGTTACTCTGTGTAATACTCACCAAGGCACTAGAGATCCCTCACTGGGGTCACCCTCTGTTCAGTTGACCAGTCAGGCTGTGAAGAAGTAACAAAGTTTACTAATACCCTTTATAAGCATAACCGAAGCCATCAGGCCACTTTTTGCCTCTTTAATGTGCTCTTGTGATGTTCTGTGATAGTTTGCTCCCAAACAAAACTGTGGTACCTGCTAAACTTGACTATCAACTCTCACTTTTGTCTGATATCAGTGTTTTCTTTCTGTGTGCACATAAATGTGTGTGCCCCTGGAGCAGGAGTGAAAGTCTGACAGCAGAGAGTCGCTCAATCCACACCAGCTCCAGCTACAGACTGATTAAGTCAAGGAGTGAGTCTGATTTGTCTCAGCCAGAATCTGATGAGGAAGGTTATTCACTGGTGAGTAAAGCAGCATTTCCTTGTAGGTGGAAAACACATCTGAAACATTTGTTTAGTGCTGTGTTTCAGTAGGTCAGTTCAGCATTCTGAAGAGAAAGTACTAGAGGTAAAAAAAACAATTGAAATTATTATAGCTCTGCTAACTTCCTCGCTTTTATGGGGGAGGGATGAAAGTTAAATATTATGTGCACGTATGTTCACCTAAAGAAATGAGGCTTTTGTTCATCTTTTAATGTAGAGTGGAAGACGAAATGTTGATTTGGATTTGGCAGCATCACACAGAAAGAGGGGTAAGTTTTCTTGTTTACCTCGTGAATATTGACCAGATAAATGTTGGTGTTTGTGAAGTTAAAGTGTGTTTGCAGTTACATACAGCTGACAGTTACATAGCAAATCCTAAAACTGAGTATTTAAAAATAACATGTAAAAGAATTGTTACCTACTGTTTGTTTGCTTTGTTTTAGTATTTCCTAGGTTATAACTCTTTATTTTAGTTTCTAGAATTGTGACCTTTTGAAGCAAGTGAGGATTTCTGTGAAGTTAAGTGAATTAGGAGCGTTCATTTTGTTTTCACTCATGTGACTTCAGGAATAAAAAACTGGCAGAGAAGTTCATGTAGAACTTGTACTAACAATGAACTTTTACCATAAAATGTACTTGAATAAGGAGAACTTGTATTCAGAAAATACCACCTTAATTTGCATCCTTTCAACACCAGCACATCTACAGAACCAAACAACCACTGGTTTTATTGCTCTAGTATAAATCAGATTTTTAACTTTTGTACTGTGTTGCTGCTTCACACTGGGGAATCTCAATGAGCTTCTTGATAGAAGGTATGGAGGGAACAAAGGGTGTTGGTTGACAAGGAGACCAAAAGTCCCACTTCAGTCTGGGTGATGCAGAATCTCTGTGAGAATCACAACTTAGGTCTGTTGTACCTGTAAAAATCATGGGAAGATGTAAACAGGAATTAGATTGAGTTATGTTATACCTTAATAACAGAAGCCTTAATACCCTTAGGTTGTGTAAGAATTCTAGCAGAGCAGAGGTTGCTTGCTTTTTCAAGTCTTCTGGAACTGTAAACCAGGCTATCAGTGGCACACCCACTGGATTTCAGTATTTAAGTAATGTGGAAAGGAGTTCCTTTGCTTGCAATTGAAACAGTTGAACAAGTAAAGAAATGTTGTAGAGCTGTTTGTCCTGTGACAGCAGGATGTGTCATGGCATTTTCAGTGTCAGGAGATCTGTCAGAAGGCCTCTCTCAGTCTCTGAAACCAACATTTTTAGCTTTGCTGTTAATCAGACATAGAACTCTGCACTTGATTTCCTGTGTCCTAAAACTAATTCATTTTGGATTATGGTTCCTGAGCTGTTGGTTAGGCTGATGTTGCTTTGGTCACAAGCCTCAGGAAGTGGGCAATAATGGAAGAGGAGACTTTATTAAAACTTCTGTTACACTGGGTTTGTACCACTGAGGAGAGATAGGGGGGAATGCAGTTGATCTGTCCAGACCCTAAAGAAGCTCAAGTAGCTCATGTGCAAACTGAACACTGTGACAACATGTAACTCTTTCTGGTACTGGGAGACTTATTTGCTCTCCCATGATACTTAGATTTTTTTTTTTGTCTGGTTTTGGCAACTGGGGTTGGTCAGCATACAGTAATGAAAGCTGGTCTGCTTGTGCTGGATGATATATAGGACAGTTTGGGTTGGTACCCAGGGAATCCAGGGTTCATTTAAATTCCTCATAGGTCTGTTAAGGTCAGGAAAAGATCTACAAACACCTGTGTGAGAAGTGGATGAGCTGTTCTCAGGGCTGTTTAAGGTCTTTCATCTCTTCTGACGTGTTTGGTTTTGTGAATCCCCTGGAGCTGAAGCATCTCCCAGTGTTTGGTGAGGGTGCAACTTCCAGCTAGTTTGGACTGTCCCCCTGCCCCTTGTCACATCTCCAGCACACTGAGGTGCCAGGGATGGTGCAGTGCCAGACATGGATGTTGGAGTGGTGAAACCCCTTCAGTTATATCTCTGTTCTTGGGATGTGCTGTGGCTGATAAGGGGGATGTTTGTGCTCACTGTTGCCTCAGTTTGAGGAGCAGGAGAAATCTGAATTCTCACAGCACATTCACATTCAGCTGTGCTCCATCCCCCAGAAGGAATTGAAGACTTCATCTGCATTTGAATTTGCTACATTTGTTCAAAATTGAAGTGATGAAAAAGCCCAGTTTCCTGTTTATGGCAAGTAAACCACTGTGGCAGAAATGACCCACAGAAGACTCCAGCATTGTTTCTCACGATGTTCTCCAAGTGGATTTTTAAGTGCCACCAAAGTCAGATCCACCTGAAGCAACCAATAGATATTTTTGTGAGAAACAGGCAGCATATTTTTATTTTTAGTTTGGGGTTTTTTTGACATGTTCTTTCTGTATTTATGATTGTACCTTGTACTCCTACTTCTGATCTGCTTTTGAGTGGAGGATGTGGAAGATTTTGTGTCCCTCTAAATGACAAGGAGAGGAAGGAAACTTGTCATATAGATGCTGAAGTATGTGTCTATTTTGAGTGCAGAGAATAGTCATGCATTACAACAGAAGTGTATGTGGGAAACACTTCTCAAATTGCAGTTAACTTAAATCCTACAAAACAGCAGCAGTAACCAGTGTTGCTTTAGGGGACTTGTAGCTGAACTCTTCAAATTTTTGTTGGATTGAATGTAGAGTTGGCAGTGTTTGGGGGAGAAAGAACGAGTAGAGTCTTACAGAAAATCCAAAGGAACCACTTCTCATTTCTTTCTGCTGAAGTTTATAATTTAAAATATTTGATCACGTTTCCTTTTACCTGTGGTTTTTAAAATAATTCTTTACTCAAGTTTGCAGCAGCCCTTGAGATGTTTGTTCTCTTCAGTGTCTGCATAAGCTGAAGGAAGCTGACAAGCAGAGCCAATTGGAAAGCAAGTTTTTTTTCCTTCTATCACTACTGCTTTTTTCCTGTAGGCTGTGCTATTTTGAAGACTTCAAAGAGAATTTTGACTAAAAAAGTTTCTTTCATATGTGGGTGTGAGGTTCCTCCCATCTCTTCTCAACAAATGTACTGAAATGCAACCACATTAAATGTTACAGAACTGCAACCACACATGTTTCCAGCTGAGGTTTTGTAGGGCTGGTTTATCCTCAGCTATATTCCATGCAGAGTGCTTGATCCTTGCAAATTTGTCAAAATTACAGGGTATTGGTGAGTGGTTGGTTTGTTACAGGCAAGAGAGTAATTCCCCCTGGAGTGGGTTGGCTTATTTGAGAACTTCTGTTTGTGGAATGCAACAGCTCATTGTTCACAATTCAGGTCACATTTCCTTGCTAATTGAATCTCACTCTTGGTTATAACCTGATTTTTATGGTGTGAAAGCTGTTCCCTTTCATAAATTACAGTATTGGCAGTACAAAGACTGCTAATCCTGTGAGTTCCTGTGGTCTTGCAGACGAGTATGGAAGGAAAAGCATTCTCTTTTTATTCAATTAACATCTCAGCCACTCAGTCCAATCTTTGTTTAAATTGCCTTCTTCATTCTTTCTGTCTATTCAGAAACAGGACTGGGGTATTCCTACTTCAGCCTGAGGATCCTTTGAGTTTCTTGTTCCTTGGCATTTAGTTATTTCTGAATTAGTAGACTTTTTCTGTAGTTATGGAAGGAAAAGTCTTTTCCAGTGATTTTGCAGTAAGGGGTGAAGACGTTGTTTTCCCTTTGTATATAAACCTTTCTATTTTTTGTTGCTTAGATTAATCTCTTTCACTTTTGCAGACCCAGGGGTGTTTTTGTCACCCAGAAGTGATACCTGTTGTGCACAGTACCTGTGGGAGGCTGTGCACAGCTTTAGGGAGTTACCAGTAAGGGCTGCGTGGTCAGCAGTGAAATCACGATTCCAGACACATCAGTGGGACTCCTCCACTCAGGGGTTTTCATCACATACATCTAAATTCAGTGAATTCCAGTGTGCTTGTGTCACTGTTCTGTGCCACTGACACAGTGTTACTCCAAAAAAAGCAGCAACTTCAATGAAATCCAGCTTCAATTGAAATGATGTAGTGTTCCTGCAGTAATGAGTTCTGAGCTGGGAAAAGGGCAGCTGGAGTTTGAGTAAGGGATTTAGACACATCTGGGTGGATGATACAAGGGATGTTCATGGGATTAGTTTTGTTTCCTTGGCAAGAAGGTGGAGAACGTAGAAAGTTTGTTATCTAGGCAATACTAATTCAAAACAAGAGTAAGTATTTTTTTCCACATACTTTGCTGCTTGACATATTATTGTATTGATTGAGACTGATCATTGAAGTCTAAGAATAATATGAGGAAGAGGTTTTATGAGTGTGTTACCTTCTGTTTCAAATGTCTGCTTTTGTCTTCTGATTCTTGTGTGGTGTAGTGTATTTACTCCTTTTTGGCCAGTTGAGCCCCAGAAAAAAGAAGAGCTTCAAGCAAGTAACTGATGGCATGTTTATTTTTTGTCTCTATAGCTTCCCTACATATTTTTTGTTTTCTGGAGCGTGCATTGCAGCTGTGCCACATTCATGTAGAAAACTCATTATTACAAGCTGGCTTATAAGGACAAGTAAACTTTTTTTATTTTCACTGTAAGCTTAAAGTTTCTGCCTCTGCACAGCTCTGGTCATGTGATTGTAGAGGCTTTGGAAGTGCTGCACTGCAATCAATTCTGTGTGATGAATATTGCACAGAATCAAGCTAAGCTCCAATATTCAGCCATACATTTGATTTTTCTATTGATATTTGACATATTCAAGAGAAAAAAATTACTTTGTTTTAGATCTGCGTGCTCTGATTCCTAAGTGGTTTTGCTTCTGAAGTATGCCCTTAAATTTCTGATATCTTTGTGTTTAAACTCTACACTTTCAATTATAACTTCTGTTGTCTTACATTTAACCTGTATCTCATAATTGTTGGACTTTGTCCAAATTTGAAGCAATTTTAAATTAGTCTTACATTTAAAGATTCTTGCATTTCATACTAAAATGGCTAGCTAAGATCTAATCTTACTTCAAATATGAAATAATTTAGGTTTTTATTAATACATGGTGGGGGTTCTTTCTTATAAGATTCGTTGCCTATCAAAACTAAATTTTCTTCTGGTGTTCTCCTTGAAAGGTCTCCTTTATGATTCAAGACACTGGAATTGCTTTTTGTGTCTTTACAAATGCTTTGGCTCTGTGCTGTGCTTCCTAGCAGGGCAGGTGGAGGGGAGGAAGCTGAAGGCACTTTGGGCTCTCCTGCTCCTCAAAGGCTGCAGGGCCTGAGGGGGCTTTTTGGTGTTGCTGTGTGGGCAACATTTTGTGGGCTTGGCAGTGATTTAGCTGTGCTTCCTGGGGGTAACCTGAAGCTTTGTTTCTCCTCTCCCTTGGGCTCTGGTCACCATTCATATGCCAGGAAACTGCTTCCCACATGAAACTAAGTATTTTAGCCCCCATTTATTCTACTCTTTGTCATTTATCTTATGTTTCTCACCTGTCGCTTCCCCATATAACTTAGATTTTAAAGGAGGGCTTTAAAACAACTACTCTAAGAATTAATGTTAAGATTAGGGTAAGGTGGTATCTGTCTTTGCTGTTGTTTTAAATACTGTTGCCAGATATAAATTGTAAAATGGAGTAACAGAATTTCTGTAAATTTTTTTCATAGTAAACTTGACAAAATAGGTTGTTCTCTGTAAACCAGGTGGTGTTGCTGTGTTACATAAAGCAGCAGAGATTAGGAAATTAGATTGCACTTTGAAAAGTAGTGTTTAAGCTTAATCTTTGCATTATCCCAAATAAATTTGAGGCTGTATATTTTTGTCAAACACCTTGTATGACCTAAGTACTGTGATGGTTCTTTCTGAAGCCATTGCAATTGTTTAGTAGCAAGTGTAAGGGATACCTTGCAAATGCACATAAACACTGTTTACAGAAAAGGAAATGGAATGTCAGCTGTTTTTCCTAATTCATAGCCCTGACAATTAAATTTTTGGCAACTAAGTGGGGATTTGCTACCTAGTTTACAAAAGAGAAGCAGAATTGCACAGTATTTTGAATTTGTAAGTTGTGTAGTGATGCAAATTGTGAGCTGCAGGTGCAACCTTGTTGGCAGAATAACAGCATACTGCCTTTACTTCAGCAAAGAAATGACGTCAGTGGTTGCCAGGAGAGTTATCCTGAGTTCCAACCTGTGTGTCTGTCTTTCCTTGTCCCTCTGAGCAGCTGCTGCAGGTAGACAGGAGGTCCAGAAATGAGGATCCAGCTGTTGCCCTTGGAACTCAGCCTTACTGAGGAAAGAAAGCGTTGAACAGATGGATTGCTGTGAATTTGTGGGACTTCTTCCTGAAAATGGCTCTTTTAGTAATGTTTGAGGCTGATACCCTGCAGAAAGATTTTTAAAACCCAAAGTAATACAGATTTGTATGAGCCCTTTGAATGGGTTGTGATTCTCCAAATTTTATCTGCAACTCATTGTGCATAAGATAGATTAATAGATTAATATTTAAAAATTATTCATAGATTATTTAAGATAATCCGAGCTAAAATTTCAAAGTGACTTTAAACATAGATTAGGTTACCACAAAGGTCTCCTTACACTTCCTGTCTTCACAGAGGGAAAGTTCTTCTGAGCAGGGTCTGCCCTCTTGGAACACCTTGCACAGGTCCAAGTTGGCCAAGAGCATTTACAAAAATAAAATACTGCCTGCTGTCCATGGGTTGGCTGCTAATGAACTTATGGCCTGAGTGACATGGCCCTCATTGGTGCCAGGGTGTGGGTTCAGCAAAACTCTTTTGGAAATGAGGTCCAACCAGTGCTGCAGACTGATGGCTGGTGCTCATTTGGAGGCTATTTGTTAGTGATGGTGGTAAAGTTTCAGTGTATTGACAGAGGAAACACTGGAAAATAGACTTGTGAAATGGCCAGCTGACAAATATACAGATCTAGTACTTGCTGGAGATAGTATTTAATATACATGTGTCTCTCTTGAGTCAAAGTAAATGTTCTCTGTTAGTCTAAAATACTTTCTGTTCCACCTGCAATCATGATTTCTGTAAATATTTCATCCAAAATAACATTGCTTTTTCCAAACCATGAAATACAGTGGCTTGATTAAAACCAAAACTATTCTTGCTCTATATAATAAATATCCAAGTGCATAATTTCTGTTTTAGCAAATCTTTTCTTTACTATTTTGTCATTTAGCTGCAGAGCATTTTATTCAGTGTTCTAGCTTTAAGCTGAGCAGTTTGAGTGGCTTTTGCCTTTTTGTTTTCTCACTTGGCACCATGTTGCAATACTGCTTAACATAGAAAAGAAATACAGCCTTTTCTTTAGGGAAATTGCTGTAAATTTAAATCAAGTGTTTTGCTCTAAGTTGCTTTAATGCATGGTATAATTAACATGAATATTCATTTTCCACCTGTATGAATAGCAGCAGTTCAGTCTTTACCTACTGCCAGAATGTGTTACCTGGTGAGTGGGAATTGAGAGACTTCCCTGTGTGTGTCTTTAGGAGCAATTCACAGCCAGGTGGAATCTCTGAGTGACTCCTGGGTCCGACTGAAGCACAGCAGGGACTGGTTGTACACGTCCTCCTACTCGTTCGTGGAGTCCGACTTCGATCTCTCAAGATCCCTCGGGGTTCATACTTTGATTGAAAATGTTGTCAGCTTTGTGAGTGGAGACGTGGGGAACTCCCCAGGATTTAAGGAGCCAGAGGAGAGCATGTCCACCAGCCCACAGGCATCAATCATTGCAATGGAGCAGCAGCAGCTGAGGGCTGAGGTAGATCTCAGTTTAACAACTCTTCTTGTTCTTTAGACATTATACTCCTTTTAGGGATTTTTTTTTTTCTTGAAACATTGTCCTAATTCCAACTATTAATTACATTTTTCTTTCTTTTCTGTTAAGTATCTTCACTGGAACTGGGAACTTTTTGTAAATAAACTCTAAAACAAAACTGAAAGTATTGCCCTTTTAAAAAAAATTGTGTCAAGAAGAAAGCAGCTGCCTCCTTCATCCTTGCTTAGAGTTGGAGATGATCCAATTTCAGTTTCTAGGGATATTGGCTACTTAATAAATATTGCCTTTTGCCTGCCTTTATTTTTTAGCTTCGTCTGGAAGCCCTTCATCAGATTTTGGTGCTTCTGTCAGGGATGGAGGAAAAAGGCAGTGTGCCACTGATGGGGAGCCGTCAAGTCCCAGGATTTCAGTCTTCTTCATTGCTTACTTCTGTTAGACTCCAGTTCCTTGCTGGCTGCTTTGGTTTGGGCACTGTGGGACATGCAGGTGCCAAAGGAGAGAGTGTAAGGTTGCATCACTACCAGGTATGTACTTCAGGAGTTTCTGCTGTTTCAATAACTGAGTGATAAAAATGCATCAGTCCTTCTAATATTTCTTTATTTGGCCCAGGATGGTATCAGAGCAGCCAAGAGAAGTATTCAAATTGAAATCCAGGTGGCTGTGCACAAAATCTACCAGCAGTTATCTGCTACTTTAGAAAGAGCCCTGCAAGCTAATAAGCATCACATAGGTAAGTGAAACCAAATTTGCAAAATATGTCCTCTGCTATACAGTACAACAGCTTGTGCATTTACCAAAGCAGCCTTTGGTATTAGTGACCAGGATTCACTGAATTATCTGACTTCTTTTCATGAGAGAGAAACTTTTTAACCTTCTTCTGTCTTCATTTTCCTCAAGTGTTACTTAGACCTTCTTATTTTAAGCCTTCTCAGCCTTTCTGTTCCACATACCACAATCTTCCACAGTCACCTGTGACTTTGGGGCTTCAAAGTGATTTTTAGGTTTCTCAGGGATAAGAAAGCAATTTTTTGGAAGAGGTGAGAAATCTCCAGTCTCTTCCTTTGTTGAAGTGAGCTTTCTTTAAACCCAAACCTGAGGGTCAGGGCACCTTGCTTCTTTGGAAAGCCCTTTGTCCTGTCCTATATCCAGATATTGCCACGTGCTTCAGGGATAGCTGAACTCTGCACCTCTTTGTGCCTTTGTACATGCACTGACCAATAGCTTCAGCACTGCAGAGAGCTCTGGAATTTGAATGTGTTGGTGGAACCCAATGGGCATTCTTACCTGAATTGTTTTGCTGTTTCACTTACAATTAAAATGGAACTGAAAGAAATTTCTTGAGAATCCATGTGAAGTACACGTAGAAAATGAAATATTTCACCCAGTTATCCTTCTCTAGAGAGAAGTATCTGGTTTGAGATTTAACCTCAGAACATTTACATCACAAACTAGATCTGCATGATATTCTTCCTGGGGCAGCCTTGACAGAGAGTTACACTGGGTTAAAGGGACTACAGTGGTACATCAGAAAGACTCCCTCAAAGTATCTGACAAAGACTCGCTCTTTCCTTGATAATTTAATTCATTAAATTGTATTTAAAAAATAATTTGCTGTTCTTCTGTCTTAGGGTTCTTACTCTAAGCAGTAATTAATTAGAAACAACTCTTTTAACCCCAGAGGCACAGCAGCGCCTTCTCTTGGTGACGGTCTTTGCTCTCAGCGTGCACTACCAGCCCGTTGACGTGTCCCTGGCCATTTCCACTGGGCTGCTGAACGTGCTGTCCCAGCTGTGTGGCACAGACACCATGCTGGGGCAGCCTCTGCAGCTGCTGCCCAAAACTGGCATCTCTCAGCTCAGCACAGCTCTGAAAGTAGCCAGCACGAGGCTCCTGCAGATCCTCGCCATCACCACGGGGTGAGTGTCAGATGGTCCCTTGCTTTTGGAAAACTTAATTGTTAAGCTCTTCAGCACCCTTTAAAAATAACCTTTCTTTAGCTCAATGAATGTTGCTCTGGAGTATGTGAGTGAAGGGCAGAACAAAAAGAGTAGTCACATTATTCATAGGAAAGATGCACATAAGGCTTATAAGTATATTTAAATAGTGAGTGTTTGGACCAGAATAGTTACAACTCTGTGGTCTGTGAACACTGTATTTCAGTAGTCCCCATTTTGCTAGTTCAGCTTTGTGTGTAGATGTGCTCAGTTGATGTGGTAAGACTTTCTGTTGGTGTGTAAAGGCAATACCAATAACATGGTAGGAGTTCTTCAGAGCAGTGCACTGTGCTGCTTTTCAGAATATGAAATAATTTGCTGAGGAACAGTGGCCTCTGCTAGACCATGGAACAGAATGCAAAGTCCTATCAATACTTAAATATTTAGTTTAACTCAGTACACACCAGTGGAGAAAGAATTTTCTATTTGGGGCAAGACTATTATTTGATATTCTGTACATGCATCTTCGTGTCAGTGTTCAAACAACACATTGCATTTACCTGCCAAATGCCTTACATCAAAAACTCCAGTAACCCTAAACCAAAAAAATACCCCAAACTGTGGAAACAACACCTCATCCTTGGAAGTTGCAGTGGAATTATGATTAATTAACAAAGTCATTCTTTTTCCTCTAGGAAGTACTGCAAATGTATCCTTTGACTCCAAAGCTTAGACAGTTTTAGTTTAATTAGATATTAGTTTTAATGTGTTTTAAAAGGGTTGAAAAAAGTAATAATCCAAGCCTATGGTGGAGGGTGGGGAAAAGTAACCTGCTGCAATTATTGTTCCTTGGATCAGCTCTCAAATACTCTTCTTTTTACTTTTTTGTGTGTCTGTTCAGAACCTATGCTGATAAACTGAGCCCAAAGGTGGTCCAGTCTTTGCTGGATTTATTATGCAGCCAGCTGAAGAACTTGTTATCTCAAGCTGGTGTGATGCTTATGGCTTCCTTTGGAGAAGGGGAAGGGGAGGAAGATGAAGTGGAATCAAAAAAGGCAGATTCAAATGGGGATAATGAGAAGAGAGACTTCAGAGGTAAATATTTTGCATAATTTCTGTTACAGTTCTAAAATACCAGAAAGCATAATAGAAGAAGCCACTGAATGCTCATCAAGTCCTCATCAGCTCTACTGTGTTTTGATTTTTGTTGGGTCATTTTTAACTCTGTAAATTAGATTCGAGTCATCAAATAATTTAGTGCTCTGCTCAGATTTATAAAGAATTGATGCATAAAGTGATGTAAGGATGCTAGCAGGCTGAGAATAAGAATTGCTCCTTCTGGTTTGGAATTAGGAAGAGAGTATAGTTTCCCTTGAACAATGATTTGGTGGTAGTGTTTTTCGTATATGTGGTCATAGGAATTTATCTGGATTTCAAACTACAAATAAGTGTAGCTTTATTCAGGAAATTGTTGTATTTAAGCAGTTTTGCAGTTTGAGTGAATGGCAAGAGGGTGACACTACTCTGTGATATGAAAAAATCTGCAGGAAAAGATTTTCTGAAATATTAAAATCTTCACATTGTTTGCAGTCCTTAATGAACACTCTTATTTTCTGTGGAAATTATGGGTTTGAAGAATTATCAATTGTAGCTTGGTTTTAGGTGTACATATGTTTTTGTTTGTGCTTATAATGGTCTTCACTTGTTAATTCATCAGCCATCGCATTATTTATAAGGTAATTAATCACAAAATAGGATATGAGGTCTTTCCAGAGACATTTTCATGTTAGAACTTCCTTGGAATACCTATCAGTGTGGGAAGAAGTTCAGTGTTTTGCATCAAAACCACTTTGCCTGACTGCCCTACTGGGTGGGGAGGCAGGAGAGCTGGGAGTGATGTTCAGCCTTATGAGAAGGGGTGGTTGCATGGAAGATGTTTTAATTTTGTCCTCCTCCACTTTTCATTGGCAATAAATTAAATTATTCTTCCCCAAAGTGAGTCTTATTTGCCCATGAGGGTAAAAAAATGGCTGTCTTGCTCCTTTGCCTTGAGGCATGAACTTTTAGTCTTATTTTCTGTCACTGTCTTGCTGAGGAGCAGAAGTGAGAGCACAGCTTGGTGGGCACCTGTCAGCCAGCCACCATGGAATAACTGAGCATTGCATTTTTACCTACAGAACAGTAGCAGGACTGCCAGTTGAGTTGCAATATTAAGATGTAATGAAAATTTTTCGTTTCCCTTCCTAGCTGCCCTGCGAAAGCAACACGCAGCAGAACTGCACCTGGGAGACTTCCTTGTTTTCCTGCGTAGAGTCGTGTCTTCAAAAGCAATTCAGTCCAAAATGGCATCTCCCAAGTGGACAGAAGTACTCCTGAACATTGCTTCTCAGAAGTGTTGCTCAGGTATGACCTGGTCAAAACGTGCTCAGTGGGTACTTGCGTTTCCGTGGGGCAGTTCCAGCAATGAAGCCCTGTTAGAACGTGGTACACAGGGAACAATCAGAACTAGCTGGAGTAGATGTGCACAGGAGTTACACTTTGGGGCACTGGTAGGGTGTAGCCAGGTGCAGGCCTGATGCAGAGGACTCTTCCAGGTTATTGACCTGTTGTTCCATCTTCAGGAGTTCCCTTGGTTGGCAACCTGAGGACCAGACTGCTGGCGCTTCACGTGCTGGAAGCTGTGTTACCTGCGTGTGAATCTGGCGTTGAAGATGATCAGATGGCTCAGGTCTTTATATTTTGTTATAAACCTTTACACCTCTTTCTTCTAGAAGTCTCATTAAACTTATGAACATTTCCTAAGTTTGTTCAAAATCCAGTCTAGTGAGGCTCAATGTAGATTTTTGTTAATCCAAGAGCACTAAATATTTAGACGTTTGTAAAGTAAAACAATATAATGCTCCTTGTCCTCATCTGGGAGTTAAAATGATCTGAATTCTGTTCCAATACACCAGGTTGTTGAGAGATTGTTCTCACTTCTGTCTGACTGCATGTGGGAGACTCCAATAGCTCAGGCCAAACATGCTATCCAAATCAAGGAGAAAGAGCAGGAAATGAAGCTGCAGGTAACGATGCTTGTACTTTGTCTCGTGACTGAATGCTCCTGAATCACATTGACCACAAGTGTTTTGTCCTGTTTTTGGTAGAAGCAAGGAGAGTCTGAAGATGAGGATGAGAATCTTCCCATACAAGAGGTGTCCTTTGATCCTGAGAAAGCTCAGTGCTGCATAGTGGAGAATGGGCAGATTCTGACTCATGGAAGTGGAGGCAAAGGATATGGTTTAGCATCCACTGGAGTCACTTCTGGGTGTTACCAGTGGAAGGTGGGTTGCACAAAAGTGCATTTCTTAACTTCTCTCACTTGGATTTGGAAATATGCTATGATTTGTTAACAGCAGGTGTTTTTTCCCTTATGACAACACCCTTGAGTAAATGGCAGTGTTACGTTTATGGTTGGACTCTGATCTTAAGGACCTTCTCCAATCTAAATCATTCTATGATTTTATGATTTTTCAGTCCAAAGGGAAGAGTTTGTGGCTGCTTTTGAGTGCTGCTATTTGGGTATTTCAGTACACAGGTTGGAGAGTGTCAGTGTGTGTTGTGTGTTTGTAGAGGGTGATGGTACTTGTCCCTAAGATCCACAGTCAGCACGAGTGTGCCTGGTTTTGCAAAAGTTACCTGCTGAAATATGTATATTTTGAATTTTTTTTTCTGTAGAAAAACACTTCACAAAACATTGTTTTCTTGCAAAAAGACACATCAGCCTGACTGGCAAGAACAGTGTTTTAATACACCATCTGGAGTGATTTTAATTTTTTAGGAATACAGATACATACACACTTGTGATCCTTGTTAGTACTGCATTTGAGCATAACACTTGTACTTTTTTTCCCCACTTGAATCTGTGAACATGAGATGAAAAACTTATTTCTTTCTGTAATATTATTTTAGCACTTGTAGCCCAACTTGTGTGTGTGTGTGTTTTGAGTCCAGAAACGCCCCCCCCCAACTTCTTTGTGTATTTACATATAGTTTTCTTCATTACTAGTACATTAAGCTTAAATGACTTGTCAGTGACTGACCTTATACCCAAGATGTCATTTTAGAACTGGAGCATGATTTCACCTTATAAACTTATAATATTTTTATTATTAAAAGCTTCTGAGAGAAACAGAAGTATACATACCGATGAGCAAGGAAAATTTTCGTTGCTTCAGTGTGTTCAAGTGCATATTCTTGCATTTTTTCCCTGTTTGTTTTGCCTGCCAGTTCTACATTGTGAAGGAGAATCGAGGCAATGAGGGCACATGTGTGGGGGTTTCCCGCTGGCCGGTCCATGACTTCAACCATCGCACCACCTCGGATATGTGGCTCTACAGAGCCTACAGTGGCAACCTCTACCACAATGGAGAGCAGACTTTGACCCTGTCCAGCTTCACCCAAGGAGATTTTATCACGTGTGTGTTGGATATGGAAGCAAGAACCATTTCCTTTGGGAAAAACGGAGAGGTATTTAACATCAATTGTTTTTTTTTAATTGCATCAGTAATATGACATGGATAGGCATGGTGGTGGTTAAAACTCATGATAGTTTCTGTACTTAAAACCTTTATAATACAGACACAACTTTTTCATGTTTCATATTTTTGCTCGTTAAGTTGTTCTGAGTTGGAGGGGTTTTTGTTTTGGTTTTTTCACTAGGAGCCCAAACTAGCTTTTGAAGATGTGGATGCAGCTGAGTTATACCCTTGTGTTATGTTCTACAGCAGTAATCCAGGAGAGAAGGTAACTTAAATGTGCATGTGCTGATTTTGGCTGGGATAAGTCAGTATTCATCAGAGCAGCTTGTGTGGTGCTGTTTTGGATTTCTGACCAAAACTGTGTTGATAATACAGTGTTTTAACTATTGTAATCTGCTGTAAATTCAAAATGTATTTTATTATTTAGAATTCATTTACAGACTTAATGTTCTGCATGAAAAATTCAGTTCCCCAGAAACCAGGCAGAATGTACTATCAGGATTTCTAGATAGCCTTTTGTGAGAAACCATCAACTGTTGTAATTTCAGCATCCTTGAGTTTGAAGGGCTGGAGGTTTTGATCAGCGTTCAGGTGGATTAGGAAAGCAAAAAGAGGCAATGCTAGTAATTATTTCTATTCAGAAGACTCCTGTATTTATGAAAAGAGCTTATTCAGGTATGTTGAGAAGACAACTTTGACACCATTCCTTCCAACGCGCAGGTGAAAATCTGCGACATGCAGATGCGAGGGACGCCCAGAGACCTGCTGCCTGGGGACCCCATCTGCAGTCCCGTGGCTGCAGTGCTGGCAGAGGCCACCATCCAGCTGATCCGTATCCTGCACCGCACAGACCGCTGGACACACTGCATCAACAAAAAGATGATGGAAAGGCTGAACAAAATCAAAACCTGCCTTAAAGAAGCAGGGCAAAAGCTCAAGAAAAGCCGCTCGGTTCAAAGCCGGGAAGAGAGCGAGGTGAGAGAGGAGAAGGAGAACAAGGAGGAGGAGAAAGGCAAGCACGGGCGGCACGGCCTGGCCGAGCTGTCGGAGCTGCAGCTGAAGATGCTGTGTGCGGAGGTGTGGCCCGTGCTGGCCGTCATCGGAGGGGTGGACGCCGGGCTCAGGGTCGGAGGGCGCTGCGTGCACAAGCAAACTGGCCGGCACGCCACCCTGCTGGGGGTGGTCAAGGAAGGCAGCACCTCTGCCAAGGTGCAGTGGGATGAAGCAGAGATCACCATCAGGTATGTGCATTTCCTGCGCTTTTCAGCCCAGTGGTGCTTGGAAATCTTCAGAAGTAACAATTCGTCTCGTGTTAGAGTCATGCTGAACAGTTATTGTACATTTAGACTTCAGCGGTATTGAAGTTAGTGCTGCCTTGAAGTGGGGTTCCTTCAGGGTCTGACCTGCCTTAGAGAGCCCAGGGAGTGCCCCTGTGTTAGGTGTGAGCAGTCTGGAGCTGCTGTTCTGCTGAGGATGGTGAGGGCCAGGGAGGAGGCTGGAGGGAGATACCCCCTTTTCCCCTTCTAAGGGAAGGAAACTCCAAAACGAAGCCAGTGGCTTCTCTGGGCTCTCTGGTGCTCTCACAGGACTTGCCTGTGGTTTTGTATGGAAAGATTTGATTCATTTAATTTCTTAAACTACTTTTGCCTGTAGCTGAACCACAACCTTGTGGAGAAATTGAACACTAATTATTTTATATTTTTTTTTTTTACTACCAGTAAAAAAAAAAATTACATTTTGAAATAGCTCGGGTCAGTTTGCCTCCTGGAGCTGTTGCAGCATTGTGTCTGTTTTGTCTTTGCAAAGGCCGTTGTCACTTTAACTAAATATACTGAAGTGCAATTGATTTAGTTCCAGATATAAATTCTTTCAAATACGCCCATGTGACAGTATAGCTTTAAAGTAAGTGTGCCCTTAAAATAACTTGAACCATGATTTGAGTGAAGTGGTACAGCACTTGAACTTGATGTAAGGTATTGAGTTAAGTTCAGAGTGTACCTTCTTCATTAAAACCAGGCTAAAGCTTGCTTTCATTTTGAGCTAGAAGTTTATATTGTGAGATGGGAAAACATTTTGGGATAATAAAAGGAAGATTTAAAAGTCATTTATCTGCTGGATATGTGGAAAATACAAGACGCATGGAAATATGGACTGGTGAATTTTTGTCCTGCTTCAAGTGAAAATTAGTCAAGTGTAACAGTCCTAAATATCACCAGAAGATACCAGTGAATGTAGATGACAGATAGACCTCTGTGTCTATTGGGTTTTCTGATCTGTGTTTTTAAAATCACTGCCCTCACCAGGTAATCTGTACTGACATACCAGAGACAGAATTATCATAAGCTGTCAGTAGTGTGGTCATGAATACTTGAACAGGAACATGAGGTCCATCAAAGCTTTTCCTTCATGTGGAAATTTTTTCCTTTATAAGCTTTTGTATCTATGCACAGATTCAGCTCAGGTATGATGATAAAATTTGGCTTAAGGTAGTTTTTCTTAGTAGAAGCCTGTTACATACCTCTAAATAATCTAGCCAAAGCCTGTGTCAGCACAGAATTGAGAGCTTCTGTGGGACTTCTGGGTTTCAATGCTTATTGAAAACTTGTGTATGCTTTGTTGCCTTTGCTTTGAAACCATATCTCCCTGTTTTCTGGTCATAACCTCATTTTCCCCTGTTTGCATTTGATTTTTAGAATCGGTTTATTTTATCAGATATATTTTACATCTTACTTTGCCTACATTATTTCCTGTACTTTCCTCCTGTCTCTCCCTCACTTGCTTTTTCCTGTGTCATTCTGATCTTTATTAAAGCTTCCCAACTTTTTGGTCGCCTAGTGATACCCCACTGTATAATCTGGAGCCCTGTGAACCACTGCCTTTTGATGTTGCAAGATTCCGTGGGCTGACAGCTACTGTGTTGCTGGACCTTACCTATCTGACTGGCATTCATGAAGACATGGGCAAGCAAAGCACCAAGAGACACGAGAAAAAACACAGACATGAGTCTGAAGATAAAGGGGAAGCAGACCAGAAGGCGGAGGGTGATGCTGGATCAGACACACGCTTAGGACCAAGCGCTGACGAGAGCAAAGGACATGGTGCTACAAGCTCCAAGTCAGACAATGAAATTGTTTCCTTTTCTCTAGAACCTTCGACACTAGGTATGGAATCCCAGCACCAGCCTGGGGAAGGAAGAAAAAAGAATCACGAACACAGTCCAAGAAGTCACGACATAGTGCAGTCGGAAATCAGGGCTGTGCAGCTGTCCTACCTTTACCTGGGGGCCATGAAGTCCCTTAGTGTTCTCCTGAGCTGCAGTAAGTACGCTGAGCTGCTGCTGATACCAAAAGTGCTGGCAGAAAACGGGCACAACTCGGACTGTGCCAGTTCCCCAGTGGTCCATGAAGATGTGGAGATGAGGGCTGCCCTGCAGTTCCTCATGAGGCACATGGTCAAACGGGCAGTCATGCGGTCGCCCATCAAGAGAGCCCTGGGGCTGGCAGACCTGGAACGGGCACAAGCCATGATCTACAAGTTAGTGGTTCATGGGCTGCTGGAGGACCAGTTTGGTGGCAGACTTAAACCAGGTACATTTTCAAAATCATGGAGTATAGGGCTACATTGATTTTTTTTTTTTAATTTATATTATAATTATTAGCAACAATGATAATACAAATAACATAGTCTTGTAATTTTGTAGTGGTTATGCTTTGGAGGAGTCTTAATTGGACAGAGAAATTTTGCAAAACAGTTTTACTGTTTTATAAACATAATACTGACTTTTTTGCCTTTTCTCAAATTCCTTATTAAAATAAATAGTGAATGTATATCAGTCAATCAGAAATATAGGAGTTTCTAATTTGTCTTTAATACTTTTTAAAAATGAACAGTTCTGTATATACTTATCAGAAGGATTTGCACTCCTTCTAAACCAACAAAAAAACCCTGTTAAAAAAATGTTACTCAGACAGCTGAGATAAAGATAGCTTTATAGTTAATCAGCTCTGTTTCCATGCCTAGGACCTCTTCCCTTTTGCCTGTTTTGAGAATAATCCTGGCTGTTACAACCATGAATCTAAATATCATAAGATCTGGTGGAAGTAAATGTCTTGTTTGCTGTTTACCTTGTGTTGATGTCAAAAAAGCAAGAGCTCAATGGCTGATTTTTCCATCAGTCCATGAGTTACTGGCAGCAGAAGTACTTGTATGGGGTGTATTTCTGCACACCCCCTTCTCTGGGGAGAATTTTGAATAATCAGAGTTATTTTTGAAAGTTGGATGTCTAGCCCTGACTACTGTTTTGCTCTACAGCATTATATTAATGTTGCTGTAACGTCCTCTTTTCTGTTGCAGAAGTGGAGCAACAAGTAGAAGAAGGTGATCAGTCTCAGCAAGCCCAGACTCCAGTTACAACCAGCCCTTCTGCTTCCAGCACAACATCTTTCATGAGTAGCTCCCTGGAGGATACAACCACTGCTACTACTCCAGTGACTGATACAGAAACAGTTCCAGCTTCAGAATCACCTGGGGTTATGCCTCTCAGTCTTCTTAGGTAAAATACCCTATCAGCATGTAGGATTTTGTGGGTGTAGGGAACCAGTTGTGTGGTTTATATACAATACATGTCTTTAGATAAGCCTTTGAAAATGCTAATGTTTGTATTTACTGTCAAGAACTGCCTCTGCAGAGTTTAATTAGTTACTTTGCTTTGCAGGCTTTGTGTTACTAGAAATAAAAAGCTGTTAAGCTTTTACTCTGCACTGTATGTATATGTAGGATCTGAGTTCTTCAGGAAGGAGAAAATACCTTCCTTAAGTTGTCCTTTAGTTCTCTTGTTTATTTGGTACAGTTTAAATCATAGATCTCTGAAATTCTGTATTGTTAACAAATGTTTGTTGATTCTCAAACCAGAGTAGATTTTAGTTGGTAGGTAACATCCTGTAAGCTAAGGCATTGTTTCATCTTACCTCACTTACTGAAATGGAAGATAAACCTGGTTAATCTGCAGAGGCTATTTGTGATGTAGAACAAAGTCTGCTTTACATTGCATAGAGTCCTGTTCTAAGTTTATTAATTCTTAGAGGTTTTGCAGATATAATTTGATAAAAACCAGAACAATGTCTTTGTACCAGGACAGTGAAAATAAAATATTCACCTGATCTATTACTCTGCCTGAGTTCTGAACAAACTGGGGAAATGAGAAAAATGTTTACTTATCTTTTATCTCCTAGGACAGCCCTTGGTCTGGCAGGGGATTTTTAGGTGCATACTTAGAATTTATTGTTGCAGGTAAATTGGTAGGAATGAACTGTTCTGACAGGGTTTCTGGGCTTGTCTCCATGTGTGTGTTGTGCTTTACCCTTACAAAACACAATTGCTGTAAGGTAGGATTTGCCAAGTGCACTCCAACTTGATGCATTTCTTGTGTCAGACCTTTTCCAGCATAGCTCTTTTTGACATAAATGTGTATTGTTTTATTTTCAAGGCAAATGTTCTCCAGTTACCCGACTACAACTGTGCTTCCAGCACGACGTGCTCAGACTCCTCCAATATCTTCTTTGCCAACATCTCCTTCAGATGAGGTTGGAAGGAGACAAAGTCTGACTTCCCCTGATTCCCAGTCTGCCAGGCCTGCCAATCGTACAGGTAAACTTAGTGTAGATGGAGATGTGGACAAGTCAGTAAATTGCCAGGAGCTCAGTGACAGGATTGCAAAGATTGAAAACCAACCCAGTTTCTTTTTAAGGCAACCTAACATTCAAAGCATTGTTGAAAACCTTTTGGTGACTATCTTAGCATGAGAAAAATGTAAATTGTCTAGCTGTAGACTTTATCAAGCAAATGAAAGGAGTTTTTGAGAGCTGTGGATTGGATTACAAACTGCATGTATAAAACCAGAATGCAGTATTGTTGGTAATTGCTTCAAAATGTCAGTCTGATTTGGGCTTGCTTCCTTGGTTGTGTGCCACTGTTACATGCACTAATTTTCTAACTTTTGTTAGATCACATACTATGTAGAAAACAAGAATTGGTGTATTTTATGATACATGCACCAGTATAGCTCATTGCAATTAATTATAACTAATGACATAGAAAGGGCTGTCCAACCTTCATGGGGTCCTCATGCTCCTGTCTGAATCTTGTGAAGGGAATGGGAGGCTTCAAAGCAGAAACAGAAACGTGGAATAAATGGAGACAGCAAATTGTTGAGTGAAGTCTTGAGCTTCTGAAGAGCACTAATGAGTGTTGTGGTGCAGAGGAGATAACAACACTAGAAAGAAAATACATATGTATGTGTTTTATTAAATGAGCAAAAGAGTCCAAGGTGAAGTATGTTCTCCAGATTTCATATTCATGCTGAGAAACAGAGTCTGTGCTTTAAAACTCTCGAATGAGAAACTTGTTATTCCTGCTCTTACATCCAAGCTATTAGTTGGGTTTTTTAGCAGTTTCATTTGTTGCATAGCAACTGCTCTACTCCGTTTCATGTCCCCTTTTTTTTTCTTTTCTTAATTATGAGATGACTTGCTTCTAGTCACGATACAGTCTTTACAACAGCGTCTGTTAGTGCTTTGTTGCCTTCACTCATCAGACTTCACTGTTATGGCAAATGATAATGATTAACTGTGGTTTTGGGGAAGTAACTGACCTTTCTAGAGTCTCTCCAAAGACTGTCTGCACAGAAATGTAGCCACCATCTGCAAAGAGATTTTTCAGGTGCATTACCAGCTTAGTTGAGGTCTCTTTCTGCCCCTTGTGAGGAATGTGTATTGGTGTGATCTCATCACATTTGGGAATCCTGATGATTTGGACGAGGATAACTTACCTAGGTTAGCTAAATATAGATCAAATAGATAATCTGATACAGTTTTAAATGAAAATAATAGAAATGTCTTAAAAGAAATAGTTCTTTGACTATCATCAGTACCCTACTTGAGCAGAGGCACAGATAATCTGTTGTCAGTAGCATTACAGAAAGTATCTTAGTTTGTGGAAAAATAATAGAGAGAAAAGTTGAGAGCAGTTATTCCCTTATGTGAAGCTGATGTGTCAAAGTAAGGTCTAGTAAAGTACCACTAAAGAAAGATTTATGCACTTTACATGTAACATTTTCTCTCTTCTAAGCTTTGTCTGATCCAAGCAGCCGACTCTCCACATCCCCTCCTCCTCCTGCCATCGCTGTGCCATTGCTGGAAATGGGGTTCTCCCTCAGGCAAATTGCCAAAGCTATGGAAGCTACAGGTAATCTAGAACTACAGTAGCAGTTCAAACTGAAAAACTGAAAACACATGGAACACTTTTTTCCAATAGAATACTTAATTTTTAAGTTCTGTAACCATTTATGGGGAAAAAATGATTGTGTTTTTTTTTTTAATAACCATCAGTGATAAAATACAGGTCTGAAGTGTGGTTCCCCTGCTTTCAGGTGCCAGAGGAGAAGCAGATGCCCAGAATATCACAGTCCTGGCCATGTGGATGATAGAGCACCCTGGCAATGAAGACGATGAGGAGCCCCAGTCCGAAGGGACTGCGGAGTCCCGGCACGGGACAATTGTCTCTGGCAGTGGTGGGAAGTCTGGTGACCATTGTTATTTGCAGTCTCCAGGTGATATCCCTTCTGCTGATGCCACTGAAATGGAGGAAGGCTTTAGTGAGAGGTAACATGTCATTTTTCTGTCGTTGCTTGTGATGTTCCTGAAACTGGACATCTCACAAGTTCAGTGCTGCTGACAGAGTGTTACTGTGGTGCTGCTTTGGAATTCTGTTACAGCACGAGTAGGAGCAAAGGTGCAATTAAATTAGGTGTACATGGTGAATTTGTTTTCCAGTACTGAGCAAGAATGTAACTAAACATGTTTCCTTCAAAAAAAAAAGAGAAAGGAAGAATGAAAAAAATGAGGGCTTATAATTGCATTTTAACTAAAAGATGGAGTAAGAAAGCAAAACTTCATTGGTTTACTTCTTTCCCTGCAGTTTATACATGAACTGGAATTTTTATACATATTTCTTTTTAAATTAATTCTTGGTTTGTCCAGAGCAGATGAAACTGAATTGAAGTTTACTTTCTCAGTCACCTTCACAACCTTAGAGATAAACTATCTCTTAAAGAAGAAGGTGGTTCTTTTGGGGGGCTTTGGTGGGTTCTTTCTCGTTGCTGTTTTGTTGGGTTTCTTTAAATCCTGGAAGTAGTGGTTACACTTTTAAGTGACCCCTTTCAGGAACCATACCAGCATTTCTGTTAATAGAGAGGATGACTGTTACAAGATACATTTTGAGAACACTTGTTCACATTCCTCAGTCCTACCGAGATAAGTGTTTTTATTCCTCTGTTACTTTGTCCCACATCAGCTGTCAGTTCATGGAGAACTCAGATTCAGTTGGGAGAAATAAAAGAAGCAACAGGTGTTACTAAGTAACTTAAATTTGTGTTTTGCAAAAGGTGTGGGGCAAAAGGGGGATTGACTCAGTGAGCAACAACAGAGATGTTGTTTCAAAAATGAGAAGAAACCTAGTTCAAGCTGTAGTTAACATAGAGATGAGTGCTCTCCCAGAATTTCTGCAGTGCTCAGGCACTATGGAAGGCATCAGATAGGTATTGACATTGCTGCACCTGATTTGTTTGAGGTAAATGTCACAGGCAAACCCACAGTAAATACATGCTCAGTGGGACTGAATATTCTTGAACTCAAAAGTCCTCTTTTTTTCCTTCCATGAAAGAAAGGAAAAATTGCTCCTAAATATGGCTTTGATATTTTTCCTTACTTACGGTATGTGGCTGTTTAAAACTTGGTTTGACTTACCTGTAAATTCCAAATTCTTGTAGCCCTGATAATATGGATCACATGGATAATGCAGCTTCTGCCAGTGGCCCTCCCTCCAGAAGTCGCTCGGCCGTGACACGGAGGCACAAATTCGACCTGGCTGCCCGGACACTGCTGGCACGGGCTGGTAAGTGCCCTCAGAGACACAGCAGGGCTTGGCTGAACCAGGGAGGGAACGGGAGGGGGATTGGCACTCAGCATGAAGTCTAGAAAACTCCTTCTCACATGTGTATCAGTGTGTATTTAAGTGTTTCATGTGGTAATAAGTAGATTATGGTTAGCAGAAGAGTTAAAAAAGAAAGTTGAAAGTACAGCTGTCTCTCTTCTATGTAAAATAAAAGTTCTGCTTTCCTGTTTCTCCTTTTTTTCTCCCTTGAGCGGGACTGTACCGCTCCGTGCAGGCCCACAGGAACCAGAGCCGCCGGGAGGGGATATCACTGCAGCAGGATCCAGGGGCACTTTATGACTTCAACTTGGATGAGGAGCTGGAGATTGACCTTGATGATGAAGCGATGGAAGCCATGTTTGGGCAAGACCTGGCTAGTGATAATGATATTCTGGGAATGTGGATCCCAGAGGTATTGGACTGGCCTACCTGGGTGTGTGTGACTGCAGCGGGGGCTGCTTTAACTTACTGCTTTTTGCATGCTCGTAGTTGTGAATTTGAAGTAACATGTGAAAGCTTATATCCTGTTGGAAGATATGTCTAAATGCCAGCAGTGCTTAAAATCTTTGTGTATTCTGTAGCTTCATTTCTAGATTAAGACTTGTGTTTTCTTGTGTTTCTCGCTCGGCACTTCCCCACCTGTGTAGTTTTTCTTCTCCCTCCCCTTAAAAATGAGAACACAACTAGCATACATTGTGATGTATGTATAGTTGTTCAATTAGAAATCAAGTAGGTGTTTCCAGATGGCTTAGCTGTGTGAGATAACACAGTTCTAAATGCCTCTTCTGCTGCTACTGATCTGTAGCAACATCATTCACACTTAAATCAGTTTTTCTTAATTTAATGGTGTCATGTATTTCATTCTCTGGGAAGGATGTGGTGATAGTCCTCACTGAATTGTTGTGTAGAGCAGTAAAAAACTCTTGAGGTGGAAGAGAAATGTAATACCAACAGTTTGGTAATCTTTGGATTATCTGTGTCAAATTAGACAATCAACCCATAAGACTAAGCTTTCGTCTCCTAATTATGATGTTACCTGACTTCAATATGGAAACAAGTTTCAGTGTGCATTTTTCAGAGCACTTGTTTCACTGAGACACCTCAGTGAAATTACTGTCTTAGGACAGAAATGTAGTTATAGCAAAATGAACTTCATATTGAGGTAAAACTTTGAAATTTGCTGACACAAATACTGGTTGTTGTTGCTCAGTAAACGTAAAATCTGATTGTCTGAAACAACAAAGGGTTCCTTTTCTCTGTTAGATTTAGTTTCAGACTAGTTCTGAGGAGAACCACATAAAGACAGTGTTGAGTGTGAACAGGGTTGTATGTGAAAAGTTATATGTGACAAGAATTTTGAGTCAATCTGAAATCGAATAGGAAACTGTCTCCTCTGAAACTTTACTTCCAAATGTTTTTCCTGTTGTGAGATGGTCTTCTTTTCATTATGTCCAATGAAAGGTAGATAGGAAGATTTAGGGACTGCAGTATCTCTCCTGTGAGGAAAGGCTGAGAAAGCTGGGACTGTTCAGCCTGGGGCAGAGATGACTCAGGGGAGTCATCTTACTAATGTGTCTAAATACCTGCAGGGAGTGTGTAAAGCCAGACTCTTTTCAGTGACAGAAGCAGAGCCAGTGGCACAAACTGAAGCACAGGAAGTTCCCTCTGAGAATAAGGAAACACTTCCTCACTGTGAGAATGTCCAAGAACTGGCCCAGGTTTCCTAGATGGGTTGTGGTGTCTCCATCCCTGGAGATATGGAAAAGCCACCTGGACAAGGTCCTGGGCTGTAGGTGGCCCTGCTTGAGCAGGGGGAGTTGGATGAGATGATCTCTCTACAACTCCCTGACAGGAGGGTGTAGCCAGGTGGGGGTTGGGCTCTTCTCCCAGGCAACTGTCAGCAAGACAAGAGGGCTCGGCCCTAAGCTGTGCCAGGGGAGGTTTAGGTTGGATGTTAGGAAGAAATTCTCTACAGAAAGGGTAATCAGTCATTGGAATGGGCTGCCCAGGGAAGTGGTGGATTTTCCATCCCTGGAGGTTTTTAAGATGAGATTGGATGTGGCATCAGTGCCATGGGCTGGGAACCACAGCGGGGTTGGACTTGATGATCTCAGAGGTCCCTTCCAACCCAGCTGATTCTATGATTCTATGATTCTGTGATCTCCAGAGGTCCCATCCAGTATCAACCATTCTGTGATGCTGCTTTGCTTTGTGCAAGTTGAGCATATAAATATCACTCTGTGTGTCACAGAAACGTGCCGGAACACCCACCTAAGATCACCGGCGTGGTTTGCATCTAACACAAAGGTATTTATTCCGTGCAAATAACGTGTGCAAATCTTCCTGTGCAGCACGTTTGTGAGTCTGAAGACAGAGAAGAAGTGGTGGTTTGTGAGCTGTGTGAGTCCAGCGTGGTGAGCTTCAACCAGCACATGAAGAGGAACCACCCTGGCTGCGGGCGCAGCGCCAACCGGCAGGGCTATCGCAGCAACGGCTCCTACGTGGACGGCTGGTTCGGGGGCGAGTGTGGCAGTGGCAATCCCTACTACTTGTTGTGTGGCATCTGCAGGGAGAAGTACTTGGCCCTGAAGAGCAAATCCAAAACGTCAACTTCCGAAAGGTACAGAAATGGAGGGCAGTGGAATTCCCAGCAGGATTTCCTGAGCCTTAAAATCTCGCACTGTGTTCAGCAAACGCCTGTTTAGAACAGAAGGTGAACTAGATATTTCTGGGTTTTAAGTGAAAACCAGGGAATAATTTCTTGGGATTTTGCCCACTTCTTATTGACTTTTGGAAACTTGTTATCAATTTTGTTTGACAATTCCAGTATTTTTTTGTGGACTTTTCTCACATTAGTATTGCAAAATTCTTCCCTCCTCCACCCACATATACTTTTAGACTCTCTTATCTATTTCTCTCTTACTAGCCATTTCCAGAATCATTCATAAATATATGTAGATGTAACAGTAAGGTTAGGTTTAATAGGGAACCAAGTTTAAAATTGTTATGCATATTTGCAAAATATTAGAGCCATTCAGTAATTTTCTTTGTTATTTTTTCCTACAGGTACAAAGGCCAGGCTCCTGATTTGATAGGTAAACAAGACAGTGTCTATGAAGGTAAGTTTTTAAGTTGCACAGTGATTTATTTTTTCATAAAAGTACTTCCATGCAAATGAACCTGAAACTGTACACAAAGGTATATTTTTAGATCTCCCAATTAGATGTAGTATTTTAGTTTTGGGAGGGTTTTTTTTAGTTCAAATCAGAAAAAACCTCAGTGATTTTTTTCTCCCCTCCTCCCCCCCCATCTTTCATCTAAGCAGCTGAAATGGCAAATACCTGACTTGGGGTGATAAGATGTTGTGGGAAGGTGTTATGTCTAGAACTGCACATGCAAAACCTTATGTTCAAATACTTTCCTTCAGCTGCCTTTGTGGGAGAAATTAGTGTAAGTTAGTGTCCAAAGGTCTGCCATTAGGCTTGTTCTTAATTTTTCTGCCTTTGTCCTGGGAGAGACTTTCACTTTAAACAGATTATTTCTAGTGTCTGTAGAAAAGCTTTCCCAGATGGTTCTTTGATTCTGGTCCTTTCTGTAGCTGCATGATGGCAGCTGTGTGATTTACCACATTTGTGTATTTGGGCAAGTCCATCTGCCAATAGATTAAAGGTGTTTGGATTCTACTGTGTGGAGTGAGACAGAGCAGGGGAGACCAGAAAATATAAGTTAACTTCTTTTGTAAATGGTTGGGAAGTGGATGGAATTTAATGAGTTGCAATTATAATGCTCCTTTTTTATTTTTTCCCTTTTTTTCTTTTTTTTCTTTTCCCCCTGGGAAGGAAAAGCAAAAACCTGAGTGTCTGATTATAACCTGTGGACTCATGCCTACTTTTTTGATAAATATAAAGACCAGGAATTTTTAATATCTGTATTTATTCTTCAGTCCTTTGGCATATGCACTTGTTACCATGATTTAAAGCACAGCTGTATGTCTGTGCTTTTTGCTGTATTCCAGGTTTTGGAGTTGTCTTGTGCTACATGTGGAGACCTCCAGTTTCTGTGTTTTCAAACAACAGCTAGTTTGATACTTTAGAGAGTCTTCCATGAAACCTTTGGGCAGTATATATAAAGATCAAGTTGAATAGAGAGGGGCAAGAGCTGGGTTTTGTTTTTCTGATTTACTCTGTTGTGTCTATGTCAACATCAGAAGATGAGTTTTTAGGACTTACTGTGTTGCAAATGACAATACACGTTTTGTACCTTGCACTGTTTTTTTAATTAATTGGAATTATTTAATATTCTAGCTTTTGTAACCAAGTCTCATTCTATTTCCCCAACTCTAGAAGACTGGGATATGTTAGATGTAGACGAAGATGAAAAGCTGACAGGAGAAGAAGAGTTTGAGTTACTGGCTGGACCTCTTGGGTTAAATGATCGGCGCATTGTCCCCGAACCTGTCCAGTTCCCTGACAGTGACCCCCTGGGGGCTTCAGTTGCAATGGTCACAGCCACCAACAGCATGGAAGAAACACTGATGCAAATAGGTAAATTTAAAATCCATTTCATTCAAAGAATAAATAATCATCATAATACCACCCCCACCACCTCCTCTTTGGTGTGATTTTTGTAGGGGTAGTGCAGAAACAGTCTGACAGCGTTTCCTTCCTGCCACCACAAGAAAGGAAAGACAAGCTCTAAATTGTCCTTTTATTTTAGGGGAGTTAGAGAGAGCAATGAGGATTATAAATTGCCAGGAGGCTTGAAGCTTTAATTTGCCAATAAAATTGTACCCACAGTGAATGTCAGTAGCATGTTTTGCACTCAAAGAATGGATTTAAGTTGGGACTTCCAAGGAGGCCTCTCTGACAGAAAAGGGAAACAGAGAAGTTAAGATTAACTTGAGTATTGTCAAGTAGTTCTCATCTATGAAATTGAGGAATGATTAAATTATGGAGTGTATTTCAGGAGTGTATTTTCCTCTCGGTCGTTATCACTATGTAGTTCTGTATGAAATAGTGAAAAATGCATGAATAGTTTATGAACTTAGGCCATATTTGCTTCTGTGCTTATTACTGTATGGTAAAGTTTTGGTTTTCTTTAAACACTAATGCAAATCATTGTTATTTCCAAGGCTGCCACGGCTCAATAGAGAAGAGTTCCTCTGGCAGGATAACCTTGGGAGAACAGGCAGCTGCCCTGGCGAATCCACACGACCGCGTCATGGCTCTGAGGAGAGTCACAGCTGCTGCCCAAGTCCTCCTGGCAAGAACCATGGTTATGAGAGCACTCTCACTTTTGTCTGTCAGGTCGGTGGCATCCTTGGCAACACTTTTACCTTTTCTTTCAGAACCAGTTACCAACTTATGTTTGATAAGACGTGATTTTAAGCTATCTGGGGAAGTGATTCTCATTTTATGTACTTACATAATACTTCCGAGAGGAAGAGTTCTGCTGATTTTGTTCTTTTAACCAAGAGCATTTCTGTCCATTTTCACAGTGGTTCCAGTTGCAGCCTGGCAGCTGGGCTGGAATCCCTGGGACTGACGGACATCCGGACGCTGGTGCGGTTGATGTGCCTGGCGGCGGCGGGGAGGGCAGGGCTCTCCACCAGCCCATCCACGGTGTCCAGCTCAGCAGAGAGATCCAGGGGCATCCACAGCAAAACAAGCAAGCCCATCTCTTGCCTTGCCTACCTGAGCACTGCAGTTGGGTGCTTGGCATCAAACACTCCCAGTGCTGCAAAGCTGCTGGTGCAGCTGTGTACACAGGTAGGACTGTTCTCTGAGCTGCAGTACTTCCCTAAAACTACCTCTACGTGAGATGAAGCAATCCCTTTTGTACATATGGACCATTCTAGCTTCTGAACTGGGATGAGACTGACCTCAGTTTGAGGATCTCCTTAGAGTTCTTGTTTATGGCTTTGCACAAGGCTGTGTTTTATTGTTAGTAAAAATCAAGTAACTATACATGTTTTTGCTGAGTACTCTTTTCAAGTGAGGAAAATGGGTGTGCTCTTTGTTTTCATAGGGGTTTTCTGGTTAGGTTCTGGGTTTTTTTTTTTCCTGAGTCAACTCTGTGTAGAGCACAGGAAAAAAAAATAGAAACCTTTAAAACTCTGCCTGATTTATCCAACTGAAAGGGTTCTCTAAAATTTCTATTTCTGTTTGTTTTGGATAACCAGAACAATAAATAATTATCATCTTCAATTATTTCTTTCTAGAATTTGATTTCTGCAGCAACTGGTGTGAACTTGACAACAGTTGATGATCCAATTCAGCGAAAATTTTTGCCAAGTTTTTTAAGGGGAATTGCAGAAGAAAACAAACTTGTCACATCTCCAAATTTTGTGGTTACTCAAGCACTTGTAGCATTGTTGGCAGACAAAGGGGCCAAACTGAGGCCAAACTATGATAAAGCTGAAATTGAAAAGAAAGGTATGATATAGCTTTGTTTTTAAATGTTGATCATTAAGTCTTGAGTTCCTCATTTTTAAATGTAAGGGAGAGACTTGCTAGAAAAATGTCTAAATAGATGTACTCTGAAAAATGTACAAAACTTGTTTTAATGAAAGGAATCTTGCAGTTTATGACAGACATTTTAATTAGAATTACAATCTTATTACATAATTGCATCTTTAAAAACAGTCAGAATGTGTGTTATTCAAAGCCATAGAGCTGAGACATTGAGCCTTGGCTGTGCCTCCTGGTGAAACTAGGGGGAGTAACAGGTGATGGCTGCCACCCAAGTGCTGTTCTGTGTCTGATCAGAAAGTCGTGCTGCCTGTGCTTGGAGAGATCAGGGAGCCATGGAGCAGCTGCTGTTGCTGGGATAGAGAGGGAAGGACACGACAGTGACAGCAGCATCAGGGGAGGCATTTTCTTGTTCAGAAAGCACTTGCTCTCTGAACAACCATTTTACCTGTGGTGGAAATAAGACATTTTATAATTCTATTCTTAAGAACAGAGTATTCTTTTGTTTTTGTGAAAATGCAGCTGGGGTTATTTTGGTATCAGAGGAGTGCTTTCCCTCACGCTTAACATGATCGCGCCGTCGCCGTTTAGTCTCTTTTCCGGGAATGCTGGCTAATGCTGTGCTCACCGTGTGCAATTCTGTGTGGTACTCATCTGGCCGTCATCTCATTGTCGTTTAAGCAGGTTTAATTGCCCATTTGTATGCCCATCCTTCCTATGATCCCTCTGCTGTAGGCCCTCTGGAGCTGGCGAACGCGCTGGCCGCGTGCTGCCTGTCCTCGCGCCTCTCCTCGCAGCACCGCCAGTGGGCCGCCCAGCAGCTCGTGCGCACGCTCGCCGCCCACGACAGGGACAACCAGAGCGTCCCCCAGACCCTCGCTGACATGGGGGGGGACCTCAGGAAGTGCTCCTTCATCAAGCTGGAGGCTCATCAGAACAGGGTAAGCCTGGTTTGCCTGCCTAAAACGGAAGGAGAAGCTCTCCGAACAGTGTTAGTGTAGGCAAGGTAGAGAGCGGTTCTGTAACAAAAGCCTTCGGGTGCACAGGGACACACACCCACACAGAGAATTCTCACACTTGTATACCTTCAACTAATTACCACATCTAGTCAGTACATCCAACCCTAAAACCACTTTTGCCCCTGTTACCACCCACAGAACTGCCCTGTTGGGGCCTTTCTAAGGGTTCCGGACCCTCTGTCTTGTTTTGGCTACAATACATCTTATTATTCCAGTCCCAAACAGGATGTGCTTGCTAAAATCTCTTTCCTTGAAAAGGCTGTTAAACAGAATTCAGCAATGTAGCACAAACCATGAGAAAGGGTTTTTAGTAACAGTCTAAAGTGAAAGAAAATTATACAGCCATATTAAAATCTACAAGAAGCTAAAAATCTTCAGGCATCAGTCTCACGCAGCAATTTTAACACTCTTTTGTAGAATACATTAAAAATAAAATAATATTATCTTACAAATACGCTGGCTGAAATGATTTCCCACAAGAAGTAATTTTTTTGGAGATTAAGTTATTGCCTGAGGTAAGTTATTGCATCTCTGAAGCACAAAAATGCTTGACTTTTTTGATGCTTCAATTAAAGGCATCATGGGAGTGTTCTTAACGGCACATGAAGTCAGCAGAATCACCCTGAGTGTTTTCTTAGACTAGATCTGTATTTGCATTCATTTTTCTGTCATGGTTTTCTGTGCAATAGTGACCTGTGGAGCAGGGGTCTGTATGAAGTGTGGCACCCTTATAACTCCTGTTTAATTGCAATATATTTATATATTGTACTATATATATTATATTATACATATAATATAATAGTACTGTAAAAGTAGAAAAATAAATCTTGATCATTACAGTGTATTTCAATACTGTTGCTGGTGCTCTGTCTCATTGGTTAATGTTTGCTTAATAGGAGTGAGCAAAACCACCTGAGTTTCCAGTTCCAGTTTTGCCATGATTACTTTGGTATTTGTAGGTCATGACGTGTGTTTGGTGCAATAAAAAGGGACTTTTGGCCACCAGTGGGAACGATGGCACCATAAGAGTGTGGAATGTGACAAAGAAGCAGTACTCACTGCAGCAAACCTGTGTGCTCAACAAGCTGTAAGTTGGTTCTTTACAACAATCAGGTATTTAATTTGAGCTGAAAATTGTGCAAGATAATGAAAAGAGCCAGCCCTCTAATGTCTCCTGCATGTGTTCTCTGGGACTGTGGCTGTGTTTATGGCCTGCAGAATAAATTAAATAGCTTAAAACTGAAACCAGAACTTAAGTATCAACTTGGTAAGAGTCTGTATAAAGAGATCATGTGAAAGCTGTTTAAAACCATTCTTAATTAATTGATATAAGGAGAAATGGGTAAAATGAAGACTGTGTGGGACTGTCATATAACAAACAGATGAATATCCCTCCAGTGGGTTCCAGTGGACAGCTCCAAAGTATGACATGGTCATTGCAAGTGTGGTCATTTGTGTCAAGTGTGAAAAAAGAACTTGGGACTTGTGGGATTCAGGAACTGAGTGTAATTCTTCTTCATGAGAGTGTCTGGGAAGTGCTTTTCTATCGTTTGGATGTGTCCAAAAGAGAAGAAAGCAGAAGGAAAGACTGAAATCTAATGCTTTAGTAGAGCATAGGAGAGTTTAACTCAGGAGAATGAAGAAACAATAGTGAATTAGAAGGTTGTTTCCTGACAATTTCTTAGTGGTTGTTCTAGTTCTTGTTTACTTGCTGCTGGTAGATGTGGCCTTAAAAGCAGTATATGGAGTGACATAACAATATTATAGCCTTCATTTTTCTGTTATTAAAAACAGTAAAAAGTGTTGTTTATAACCTTAAGGGCAATTAAAGATATCAGTGGTCCTGTTACAGTTAGCCAAAGCAGACAGTGTAACATTATATTGGGAAGAGGAGTTTAAAATAGAGTTGAGAGCAAGATGTTCCTCTTTAATTTCTTGTCCAGAAACTTTTGCACTCACTAAAGATGTTAATTTTGAGAAATAAGTAGGTAAAGATAATTTAATTATTTTCCAATTGAAACCTAGCTTGAAATTTCTTGGAAATAACTAGTATGTCATTCTGTAATCTGAAGTGGTTTTAGAGAGAATGTAGAAGTATGAGCAGGAAAATGTTACATAAATCTGCAGTCATGGCAGGACACCAGGTTTTAACTCAGTATTTCATGAATTCTGTGTTTTCCTGTCTGCTTAAAGAAAATACCCATTTTAATTGTATTATTTTTTTTCTGTTACAGAGAAGGTGATTCTGAAGAAAGTCTGGGGTCACCCAGTGACCTTAGTTTATCTCTTGTCTGTTGGAGCATCAGTGGCAAATATCTGGCTGGAGCTACAGAAAAGATGGTGAACATATGGCAAGTCAATGGTATGCCCTTAACTACCTCTGAACTCGTTATGATGCACAGATTTGTAGGGAAAGCTACTGCATGCTTGTTTACCCAAGTATTTAAGTGTCTGCTGTCCAGTTTAAGTGCCTACAGTCTCCCATAATGTCTGGTGAACCTGTTCCTTTAGAGGAGGGCACTGACCTCAAGTGGATGTGTGACTTACATCTTTGAGAGGAAGACTTTTAGTCACTGTCCTCTGTAATCTTGGAAACTTCATTCTGTTGCTTTGCTCTTAGGAAAATCCCCAGTTACACTGCCTGTCTTAATAGACAGTCCCCAGGAAAGGAATACATTTACTGAGTACTGAAGAATTTAGTTGATCCTTAACAAAACTATGTAACTTGACTGATAATTGAGATTTGTTAGCTCGATTTTTTTGTGCCTGTGTTTTGTATTCTTGTGGCTTGGGTGAATTTCTAGTATGTCCTAGCTCTAAATAAGATCTCTTGGTATTTTCTCATGGTAAGTATTTTTGTTGCTTTCTTTATGAAGTCGTTTTAAAAGACTTTTTGGTTTCCTAGGAGGAAAAGGATTATTAGATCTCCAGCCTCACTGGGTGTCTGCTCTAGCCTGGCCAGAAGAAGGGCCAGCTGCAGCATGGACAGGGGATGCTCCAGAATTGCTGTTAATTGGTCGTATGGATGGATCTCTTGCTCTTATTGAAGTTGTGGATATCTCAGCCATGCACAGGCTGGAGCTGGAACACTGCTACAGAAAGGATGGTAAGGGACTGCATCGGCATTGGCAATTAAAACTGGGAAAACACCCTCCTCCCTTTTTACTAAGCAAGTATAAAATCTCTTTTTTTTTCTCGTTATCATTTGTGGGATGTGAATTCTGGTACCTCACCTGCAAGTGTCATTCATGGGAGGAGGAAAGTGTGTGGGATCTCCATCTGCACCCTCACTCCCCCACAATAGAGATAAACAGTTTGTAGCAACCAGGTCAAACCCTGACATTCCTTGCTGTTGTGGAAAATCCCCAGAGATCCCCTGCAGTGTCTGCTCTGTCTGCAGAGAGTGTGCAGTCAGTGTCCTTTGAGTTCCTGGGAGATTGCCACTTTTCCTTCATAGTTCCAGTCCCAGGGGACATCAACTAGCACATCTTTGGCAGTATTGTGTGGGTTTGCATGTTGCTTCTTCAGGATGTTTGCAGATTTATTTTTTTTTCAGAATCAATTGAGGGAATATCTACTTGCTAAGAAAGGCAAGTTGTTTTCCAGAGCCTTTCTTAGAAGCACCCCTATTTCAGATACATAGGATTCAGTCTACTTTTCTTTTTCCCCTGTATAATTATTTTCACCATGCCAGAAATTTAAACTCAATTATTTTAATAAAAAGAAGAATGAGAGAACCAATACAAAATAATCTCAACAGCTGTCATTTCAGTGAAACTCAGTTTTATCTTTACCATACAAATTTGAGAAAATTTTCAAAAGCAAAAGTATGTTGAGACCTTAATGGTGGAGAAGTTTGTTAAACACTTCGTAGTTCAGAAAAATGCACTGCAAGTCCTCTTTGGCAGGAGTGTAGTTAATTGAGCTTAATTAATGTTTGTGTTGTCTGTTCATGTAGTGTCTGTCACATGCCTTGCCTGGTTCAGTGAGGACAGACCATTTGCTGTTGGCTATTCTGATGGAAAGTTGCTCATAGGAACGAAGGAACCAATGGAGAAAGGAGGAGTCGTTCTAATCGATGCCCATAAGGTAATTCTTTAAAACTAGTGCATAACTTCTCTAGGTAAAGATCTGTTGAAGCTATTTTCTCTATTTGAAAGCTATTTATAAAGTCAAGTGCAGGTTATTTCGAGAACACATACCTATTTATGATACACATATTGAACATAATATATTTTAAAGGAACAGTCTACCAAATGTAAAAAAAACAAAAAGGGAACATAAATTTGATAGCCTGTATTTCTGTCGTGGATGTACATACAGTGACAGGAATGTTAAGCACACAGCTATGCATGACTGGATTTAAAAGCCTAGTTCTTTTAATTGGTACAAGTGCTCATAATAAATACTAATTTTGCTCATATCAAATGTTTTTGTTCAGCTTCTTGTGCAAAGCAAAAGGTGTTTTTCTAAATATGCAGTTGCAAAGGTTGGGAACCTTCTCTTGGCCAGGATGTAATAACAAGACATTAACAGTCCATAAATTATTTGTTAGGCTAAGAGGAGAATTCCTCAAATGTAGGTGTAGTAGGAGCCTCTGGAGTGCTTCCTTGGTGTCTGGAGCAGGGTGATCCCAGAAAGGAGGGTAATGGGGTGATAAGCCTGTCCTTGCCTTCTTCCTGTGGGCTTATCTCCTCCTCTACCTCAGTTAGACTCAAAACTACATCTGACCCATTCCTTAACATGTTTCCAAACCATGTACCAGTAATTTGTACTACAGTTTCATAGTATAAAAAAAAAGAAGGAAACATTGTGTACTTTATCAGGGAAAAAAATCAAGAAAGGTTTACAGTGAGAACAAAACATTGTTGCGTTCCATTTAGTTTCTTTCAGCAAACTTCTTAAGTCTTTTTCATATGATAGTTCTGAAAAATATTATTATTTCATACTTACAACTCACTATCTAACAAATTTTTTGAGAATAAAGTATTTTTGGTATTAATAATTAAAAGTTACATTAGCTCCGAGAGTGAAATTTTCTCTTCTTACCGTTACTTCATACCAACTTTTGGGGTTTTTTTCAATCCAACAGGATATGGTTGTTAGCATGAAATGGGATCCAACTGGAAAGATTCTCCTGACATGTGCCAAAGAAGAAACAGTGAAGCTCTGGGGGTACATGGGGGGCTGTTGGAGGCGCCTGCACTCCCTGTCCCACCCCGCCCTGGTGAACGGCATTGCCTGGTGTGCCCTGCCAGGGAAGGGGCCCAAGCCCCAGCTCCTGTTAGCCACGTATGTCACAGTTTTATTGTTTCTCTAGTTCTTCTGCAGGTCTGTTCTATCAGTCTGGAGTGTCCAGAGCAAAGAAAAGGGTTTTTTTAAAAGACATTCCTTCGATAAACCAGTTGCCGTGAGATTCACAAGGCTTCAGAATTCAAATGTAAAGGGTGACCCTGGTCATGTACCAACTGTTTTCTCCATGTCATGAGACCTGTGTGTGCTGGTCCTACTTGAAATTTTTTGCTTCATCCAAATATTATTAGAAAAAATATGTTGTTAGTAAAAATGGAAAAGCTACAGGGTGTGAAGAATAGGAAAAAATGCATTTATCCATTGGGAATGTGCCTTTCTATTTTCGATTAATTTATACAGTACAGTTTTATAGGAAGGTGGTAAGACTACTGATATTGTAAGTTAATACCAGACCACTGATACTTGGTTAGTTAATACCTTTATTTTTTTTATTATTTCATCTGACTTGCTTTAGGGGATGCCACAATGGCTTGGTGTGTGTCTGGACTGTTCCCCAGGACATAGTGATCACACTGCAGTCCAGCTCAACTTGTTCAGAAGGATGGTGGGAGCAAGAAACAAGTGCCAAGGTAAAAGGAGTTATCTTGGTGTTTAAGAAATTCTCTCTTGCTCACTGTGAAATTGAGGGAGGAGAAGAATGTGAGCAAGTTCCTTGAATCTCAGTGTTTCCTGGGAGAAGACAGTTACTAAAAAAGGAATGTCATTTGTCTGTGTCTAGGCATTTTCAGAACAGGAAATGAAAAATCACAGGTTTAAATTTTATTTGGCTAAAGTTTATATTTTGATCTGTTTTCATCCTTCTAAAAGTTGATAAATTTATACTAAAATTTAGTAAGAGTTTCAAGTTTTCTGTAGATAAAAAGAGTTAAGATAAATTTCACCTACATAAGTTGTAACGTGGCCTTTAATTTGTAAAGGGAGGAAAGATGATAATGTGACAAGATATGTATAAAATATTGTCATAGTAATGGGGTTTTTTTTAATTATTTATTGGAGCTTACCCTTGCCTGTGGATGATCAGTGTTTATTGCAGAAGACAGGCACTGTCATGCTGTTCCATTTTCTGTGAGCAGTTCAGTGTTCCATAACTGTGTGATTATTTGCAGGATGGATACAGGAAGGCAGTGGAAGTCAAGTGTGTGTTTCAGCTGAGGGGACACATCACTCCTGTCAGGACTGTTGCATTCAGCCCTGATGGACTGGCCTTGGTGTCTGGGGGCCTCGGGGGCCTCATGAACATTTGGTCTTTACGGGTAAGATCATCTTTGATATGGCTTGATTCTGTTTTCTAGCAGGAATATCTGGAATGGTCAAAGCCTCCCCCTCCCCAGACATGAGTTAGAAACGTTAGAGAAAGCATGGTATAAAATAATGTTATAAAATTGTAAATAATAAAACATAAATTGAAATTATATTAGCATTGAAGTAATTTATATTTATGGTTCTCTTATTGATTAATTCTGTAGGTTTGGTCATGTTAGTTAGGCTTTGCAGAATCAGCCACTCTTTATGGTTGAAAACAATATTCTCTTATTTCAAGACTTTTTCAAGAGTCAGACAATGTGGACTTCTAAGTCCTTAGTTATCTCCTTAATGTGATAAAAATTCTAGATTTTTTTTGCTAGTAGGGTAAGTATTTCACTCTTTGCATAGTTGTTGAACAGCTTGGGAGGATGTCATCCCTTAGAGGTGTGATGGTGTGCACTGAACCAGAACTGCTCTGTGTGCACACACTGACTGCAGCCCCCTCTCTCCTCAGGATGGCTCAGTGTTGCAGAGTGTTGTGATAGGCTCTGGAGCAATCCAGACTGCAGTGTGGATACCTGAGGTTGGAGTAGCTGCCTGTTCTAACAGATCAAAGGTGACACTGTCTTAAAGTAACATTCTTTCACACTTCTTACTAAAAATACTATTTGTCTGTGTTTACTTTCTTTTCTTCACCCCCCCCCTTTTTTTCTCTAGAAATATCTATCTAACACTCTCATATTTTCCAGACGTTGTTTTGGCTTTCAACTTTCATTTCACTCTGAAAAGACTGGGCTGTTTTGTTTGTATCCTGTGTTTAATGTGGTGGGGCAGGGTGGGATCCTTCTGGAAGAACTCGTAGTTACAAAGATGCTGCATGTGGGTTATATCAGCCCCTCTGTTTCAGGGAAGCAGATGTAAATGAACAATGCAAACAGACAGAAGACAGATTTATTTCTTTTATTCCTTTATGCAGCATGAAGAAATGTTTCATTTCCCCAACAAATAAGATGATTTAGTGATCTAAATTAATCTAAAGCAACCTCAGAAGTTTTTAAGAAACAGCAGAATTTACTTCAGTGTTTTCTGTGTCAGGAACTTGTGGCATCTGAACAGAAGTTTTTAAACAGCTGATTATTCCAAAAGATGGTATTCTTGTGAATAAATATGGCACGAGTTATGACTCCTGTTAGCAGTCATGCTCTGTGTGGGTACAAGTATTTTATGGTTCTTTGAAAGTCTCTTCTGAACTCAATAAAGGTCATATTACAGGGCCAGTCCTAAACTAAGGTTGCCTCTAAACTGAATCTTAACTTAAGGGTACAGCATTCACTGAAAGGAACTCTGCTTGTCACCATGTTTGTCTTGTTCCTTGGAGTGATAATGGCAGTGTTGCCATGGCAATGTGAGGAAGTGGCAGATGGAGGTGGCTACTCCATAGCAGATTATTCCCCAACAGAGACAGGAATGTTTGAACCTTTGTGTTTTCTGGCCCCTATGGAAATTCAGACGGTTGGTGATAAATCAGTGGAGCTGCTTTGTGATTTTTGTTTTTAATTTCTGGTGTGTCCCGTGCCTGCTGTTCCACAGGATGTGTTGGTGGTGAACTGTACCTCCGAGTGGATATCTGCCAACCACGTCCTGGCCACGTGCAGGACTGCTCTGAAGCAGCAGGGAGTGCTGGGGCTGAACATGGCTCCCTGCATGAGAGCCTTCCTGGAGCGGCTGCCCATCATGCTGCAGGAGCAGTATGCCTATGAGAAGGTGAGAGGAGCTGATGCCAGCATTTCAGATGCATATCTGGCATGAGGTCACTGTTTGAATCTCAGCTGATTCCAGTTTTTCACCACAGAGAACCCACCAGACTTTCCTACATCCCATCTGTAAATAGCCTTCATCTCCTCAAAGCTAGCGGTCACCTAGTTTGAAAAATATTGAAAATATTAGGAAAACTCTGATTTAAGCAGGGAGGAAAGTATTTTCTACAGACCTAACTTTGAAGGACTCCTATTTCTGAGCTGATTAACGTGTGTTTCCTCCCTCTCCCTCTGCCCTGCCTGTAGCCCCACGTTGTGTGTGGAGACCAGCTGGTGCACAGCCCCTACATGCAGTGCTTGGCCTCGCTGGCCGTGGGCCTTCACCTGGACCAGCTGCTGTGCAACCCCCCCGTGCCTCCCCACCACCAGAGCTGCCTGCCCGACCCCTCGGCCTGGAACCCCACCGAGTGGGCCTGGCTCGAGTGTTTCTCTACCACCATCAAAGCTGCAGAAGCCCTGGCCAAGGGAGCACAGTTCCCAGAATCCTTCACTGTCCCAGACCTGGAACCTGTTCCAGAGGATGAGCTCACTCTCCTGATGGTAAAATTTGATGTTTTCTCTCAGCAGCAAAGCGAGTAATACAGTCCACATCTCTGTGCTATAAAGATTTATATTTATTAATATAAGCACTAGCAATAAGTGTAAGTTTATTTTTTAATTCACTGGTTACGATATACTGTTAAGATTGCTCTGTGTGTGTGTGTGTAATGAGCACAAGTCAGCAGCATATTAAAAAACCAAATTAAAACAACCCAATACTGTGACAGTAGTTTTCATAAGTGGTAGAAGCAAGAAATGTAGAGCTTTGCAATGCTATTTTAAGGGTAACTGGCACATTCCTACACCATACTATTTTGCTAGTGTCAATTTGCTTTTTGACTTCTTATGATATGTAAACCAAAATGGAAATTTTTGATTAAGAATTTTTTATCAGCAAGGTGTTTGCAGTTGAATTGTTTTAAGCCAGTGTTTCCAACTGAAACTTGTAAAAGCCTTAAGCATCAGTAAATAGAAAGAGATTACTTCATAGTGAATTTTGTTTTGCTTTTTTTCATTTGGATTGCAGGACACAGATAACAGTGTCATTGCTGCTGTGCACACATCCATTCTTATTGCTGTATCATTTAGAATAATTTGAATATTGTTCTTAGAAAGGAAAATGTGTTCATGACAGTAAAATAATGTGCATCTCTTGAGCTGAATGTGGTAACTGTGGCTTTTGCTGTGTAGGATAACAGTAAATGGATCAATGGCATGGATGAACAGATCATGTCTTGGGCAACATCAAGGCCAGAGGTTAGTGAAACCTTTGGTTTGGGGTGTTCTGGAGGATTTTTCTCTCTTTTGGAACATTGTAGGCTGTTGAAAGTACTCTTGTTCTCAAGCCTTCTCTCCTGCTCTTCCCTAGGATTGGCACTTGGGAGGGAAGTGTGATGTGTACCTGTGGGGAGCAGGCAGGCATGGACAGCTGGCAGAGGCTGGGAGGAATGTCATGATACCAGTGGCAGCACCTTCATTCTCTCAGGCTCAGCAGGTGATCCCTCAAAACCAGTCATGATCTAAGGATTTACCATCTATTATTTGTACAGCTTGTCAAAGTCTCTCTCTAAATATCTTTTCAATTTGTTCTTTGAATTTACTCTAAGTACCCCAAAACATGTGTTTTTACTGAAGAGGAACTCTTCAATTATTTGACAAATTCATACCAAGAAGCTAATGAAATCTGACAACACAGAATTACTTTATATGAGCATGATTTGAATTATTTTATATGATTTGAAAATACCTGCCCAGCTTTAACATAAAACATGTGGCAGTTTTGCTTTCTGAAATAACATTGACTTGATATAATGTTGTCTTGACATAATTACAAAGAACACCAGTTAAAAGGAGATATGGTGCATTGTAATGCAGGTATTACAGCTTTGCTGCATTTGACATATATTAAAATTCTTTCCTGTCTTTCTAAACCAGGTGGTTTGTGGTCAGAATTGTACCTTTGTCATTCAAGCTAATGGCACCGTTCTGGCTTGTGGTGAAGGGAGTTATGGGCGACTGGGGCAAGGAAATTCTGATGATCTTCACGTCTTAACAGTCATTTCAGCACTGCAAGGTGATGCTGCTGGGTTTGAAAGGAATCATTGAGAGAGCTCAAATGAGCATTTTGGTAGTTAGTATAATTGTGTTGATGCTCCTTTTGCAGATTTAGACATTAAATATTGTAGTGTTTAGTTAAAAAACACTGAAAAAACCCTCTAGATATAAATGTTTCCTTCATGTTTGAGTAGTAATATGTTTAAATTCCTTAATTTTAAGGTCTTCAGGGAAAAGTCTTTACTCAGGTTAGGAACGTTTAATTTCAAAGCTAATGGCAGGACAGGAGCATAAATTGTACGTGAGAAAATGAAGGTTTTGTTCAAAAGAAAAGTAAATTAATTGCTATAACAAGGAAACTGTTACTGTGGTTTGTTCTTTTCCCAGCCTTAATTGGCTGCCATTAGGCACGGTTGTATGTGAAGAGTTTGTTCTAAGTTATTCTGACCTTTTGGTTTCTCATTTTTCTCCAACAGGCTTTGTTGTAACGCAGCTGGTGACCTCTTGTGGGTCTGATGGGCATTCCATGGCTCTGACAGAAAGTGGGGAAGTCTTCAGCTGGGGAGATGGAGACTATGGCAAACTGGGCCACGGGAACAGCGACCGGCAGCGCAGGCCTCGGCAGATCGAGGCCCTGCAGGGAGAAGAAGTGGTGCAGGTCCCAAAATATTCTGTGTCTCCTTCCAGCTGCAGGGCTGGTAACCCAGTGCTGTGTCCTCTGGATGAAAACAGGCAACTCCTGCCTTCTCTGGGCTTTCTGGACCACATTGGTGATGTCCAGTTGAAGGGTGTTCATACCACAGAGCCTGTTGTTGATGTGGGATGTTGATGGACAGTTGGTACTGGAGAATGCTAAAATTCAGAGCATGGAAGAGGGGGGTGATCTAAAGATTATCACATTACAGACATGATTTACAAGCTTCCCTTTGTCTTTGTCAGGTGACTTTGACCTACAGATCTGGTCACCAAGGCCTAACAGTGCCATATTTGGCTTTGACTGGAGGTTTCTTTATAAAAATACAAGATAATCACACAGCAAATTCTTCATGCAAATATCCTCTGGTCCTCCTCCATAACATTACCATTGAAAAGAATAAGAGATGGATTGCTGGAGAAATCATTAATACTAAAATGTCTGTATTTTAGCTCTTTAAAAGTGAATATATCTTAGGGGAGGAAAAGATATTACATATATACATGTAATAGCCAATATAATCTTCTGCCCCAATTTAAAATGTGTGTAAAAATGATGTTTATTTTACTTCCAGATGTCATGTGGCTTCAAACACTCAGCTGTGGTGACAGCAGATGGCAAACTCTTTACCTTTGGAAATGGTGATTATGGTCGATTAGGACTTGGCAACACTTCCAATAAGAAACTTCCAGAACGAGTGACGGCGCTGGAAGGTTACCAGATTGGACAGGCATGGTTTACCTAAAACTAGCCCTGGATCTGTGTTTAAAGCTGATGTTTGTAATGTACTTAAGTGTTCAGTTGTGGCTTTTTAACCTTGGCTTTTATTTTGGTTATGATGGCAATATTTGACTATGCATAATTTTTTTTAGTAGTTACTTTCCTGACTCTCTTGATCCTCTTTTTGTAAAACTGCCCTTGTTTTTTAACATTTTAACATTTCAAGATTGAGGCAATTTTAAGCACGAATCAATGAGCTGCTTTATATTTTTAAACAGGGAATATGTGTAGCATAATACTGTCCTTTGGCTCTATGTGCTGAGAGGAACAAAAGAAAATACTGCTGTGTTCTAAGTGTCTTTAAAACACTCTAATAAGCAATGGAATTTTTAATGGTTTTATGTAGATACTTAATTTTTAAACACTGTTTTTCTTCTAAAAGGTAGTTGGAGTGTTTGAGTTAGTAGTAAGTTACCAAAAATGGTGGTAATAACATATTTCTCTCCCTCAGGTGGCCTGTGGCCTCAATCACACTGTAGCTGTGTCAACAGATGGCTCAATGGTCTGGGCTTTTGGAGATGGAGATTATGGGAAACTTGGTCTGGGAAATTCCACTGCAAAGTCCTCACCACAGGTTAGAATCCACGGGGAAGTTATTCTGGGCATAAATTTTCAGTGTTGTTCAACGTGTTGTACAGTAATTTTCAGAAGGTAAATTATTAATTCCACGCTGTTGTAACACAGTCTGGCACAAGTAATTCTAGTGACACATTATGCTGAGCCTGGTACTCTAAAGAGTTTCACATAAATTATAGTGACCTTATCTCAGTAGCAATACAAATTGCAAAAATCTGAGGTTTCTCTTAGAGAAGAGAGATTTCTTGTTTTGGAAATCGGGGGGAAGGTTGTTTACACACTCACCTACTTCATCCAGTGTCATTCCCAGTAAAAAAAAAGATGTTTTGAATCATTGTACATAGAATAAGATGATAATTCTGTTAAAGAAAAACTCTGTTTCTGTTTTCTGTATTAATTTCCAAGTGTTAAGTAATGTAATCCAACAGTGTATGCAGTGCACAGGGGGAATTAAAAAAAAATTTCCTTTTTTGGAACCAGGAGTTTCAGATTAAATTCAAGAATTTAAGAATTACAAGAATAACAAGAATTAATCTTGTAATTCTATACCTTGTTTTCCTTTCACTTTACCCCTTAGAAAGTGGATATTCTTTGTGGAATTGGAATAAAAAAAGTTGCCTGTGGAACTCAGTTCTCTGTTGCACTGACAAAAGATGGTCATGTATATACTTTTGGACAAGGTAAGAGAATCTGTTCTTTGGACATTTCTATCTACAGCCTTGTGTGTATTGCAAGTGAAAAGGAAGACTATTAAGACACATTTCTAGGACTGACCTAATGATGTTTTTTAGAAATGTGTTGACCTAATCTGAATTTTGGAACTTCAACAGCGTCATTTTAATGTACACCTAAAATCCAGATTTGTAGCTCTGTGTAGTTTGATCTCAGGACAACCTTTCAGGTCTGGGGTTTTTTTTTTTTCAGTAATTCCCTTTTTGAAGAGAATTTTCCTAAAATTTCATTGAATTCCACACATCCAAGGACACTGGGTTACTTCAAAGCTTACACAGTCTAATAAAGTATATGCCTACATATTTAAACATCTGGACAGGAGAATTTCCATGAGCACAGAATTAAACAATAAATTCAAGCAAATAACAGTAAACTTCTCAAGTCAGTTAATTCATCTGTATTTTAAAACTGTACATTTAGACCTAGAGGTCTTGGTTTAGTAGAATTTGCTCTTGTTTGAGCCTTCAGCAATATTCCGAGCGCCGTGGGAAGCGCCGGTTTGTGGGAAGCATCCCCCACCTTTCTCCCTGATTGCAGTGGTGTCCCAGTTCCAGGACTGTATGGAGCTGCTTTCTGTCCCTCCCTGACTCCCCCTTTCCTTGTCCCTGGCTCCAGAGGTGTGTTCCCATTCCAGATCGCCTCATCGGTCTGCCCGAGGGCCGTGCCCGCAACCACAACCGGCCCCAGCAGGTGCCGGTGCTGTCGGGGATCTTCATCGAGGACATCGCCGTGGGGGCAGAGCACACCCTGGCCCTGTCCTCCACGGGGGATGTCTATGCCTGGGGCAGCAATTCCGAGGGGCAGGTAGGTGCTTTTTTATTCTCCTGACCCTTGTAAACTGTCATTGTACTTCACAGATGGATTTGGAATATTGATCCTAGTGACTCTTCCGGCAATTTCCATTATTTTCCTGTTTATTCCCTGTAGCACTTTGGGGAAGCACTCAAAACATTCTAGGCAAATTATCCTAATCCAAGCTTTTTTAAAAATTCATAACTTTTTACCTAATTCTTGAGCTATCACCAGTTTTTTCAACATAATAAAATTTATGGTTGGTGTCAATCAGATTTGTGAACTCTTTAGGTGCTTTTCAGAGTGAAAATATAAATTAACCTTTTTAAAGGAGTGATTTTTTTTAAAGTGAGAAAAAATATAATAAATGATAAATTCTCCCTCACCACATGTTCAACTCAAATTTTTTGAAAGGACTTCAGCTTTTTGACACTTCTACATGCTACAAGTATCAGACTGAGCCTCTTCATATAGCAGGTGATGGTGTTTCAGGAAGTTTGGGCAAATTTCATCCTCTGGTGTTTTAGGACTGAGTTTTTGAGAAGGCTTGTTGGGCAAGTTTTTTAGAATAATTTCTCTGAGTTGGTTTTTTTTTTATTGCTTTTGGTTTGTTGATTTTTTTTGTTTGTTTTTTTTTAATATGGTACTTTGTGGTTTTGTAAGGGAAGAAATTGTTAGGGTAAAAAATGTAAATAAATTGATTCTGAAAGCTGTTTTATATGATTTTCGGTTCAAAATACTGGTTTTATATGAACTGGTAAAAAAATACACACTCTTGCAATATGAAATTTTTAACCTATAGAATATGAAATTAGAATGTGATGTGAAACTTGGTAAAAAATCAGAACAGCTTCAGTAAATTCTCTCTTTGCACAAATTGTGTTTTCATAAACTATTGTAGCAATTTACATGCTGGAACAAAAATGGTATTTAAATGGCACAGAGGAGATGTAGAAGATGAGTTGTCTGTGCATGAGAGACTGTGCAGTACAGACAACTTAGCAGCATAGGGTAGTTCCTCAGTCTGGAAAAGATCTTGCAAGAAGTCTCCAGCTGTTTTTGAGTCTCTTTGACACATAGATCTGCTACTCCAGTCGGGTACAGATGCAATATTTTATCAAAACTAAAAGAGATATAGGTGTAGATATATAGGTGTAGATATATAGGTGTAGATATATAGGTGTAGATATATAGGTGTAGATATATAGGTGTAGATATATAGGTGTAGATATATAGGTGTAGATATATAGGTGTAGATATATAGGTGTAGATATATAGGTGTAGATATATAGGTGTAGATATATAGGTGTAGATATATAGAGAGAGTACATTTTTTTAATCCCAGTATATGCTGTAGATAAATATAATTTTTTACCATTTGCTTTGAATTTTTGCTTAGAGAGTTTTAGAAGCATCGTGGCAGCTGTTGATTGTTCTTTGTGCCTTTTCTGTCTGTTCCCAATGGTCAGCTTGGCCTGGGCCACACCAACCACGTGCGGGAGCCCACCCTGGTCACGGTCCTGCAGGGGAAGAACGTCCGGCAGATCTCGGCCGGGCGCTGCCACAGCGCGGCCTGGACGGCCCCCCCTGTGCCCCCACGAGCTCCGGGTGAGGAACTGTCAGTAGGACAAGAGGGCTCGGCCCTAAGCTGTGCCAGGGGAGGTTTAGGTGGGATATTGGGAAGAAGTTCTTTCCAGAGAGAGTGCTCAGCCATTGGAATGGGCTGCCCAGGGAGGGGGTGGATTCTCCATCCCTGGAGGTGTTTGAGGTGAGAGTGGATGTGGCATCAGTGCCATGGGCTGGGAACCACGGCGGGGTTGGATCAAGGGTTGGACTCGATGATCTCAGAGGTCCTTTCCAACCCAGCTGATTCTATGGTTCTAACTGAGGTTTTATGGCCGTTTGTTTTAGTCCTGCCGGGTGTTCCTGAGCTATGAGTGCAACAAGAATTCTGAACATTTGGGACAAAATCTGTTTAGTTTTATATCCACACAGGGTTTCCTGTTATCTTGGTCTTAATTTGGCTGCTGTCGTGGTTTAACCCCAGTAGGCAGCTAAGCTGCTGTGGGTAAAATCAACTCCATCCCAGCCAAAAGCAAACCAGCTGCCCTTTATCAAACACTGCTCTGTTTCTCTTCCTGGGATAGGTGTTTCAGTGCCTTTGCAGCTCGGTTTACCTGATGCCATCCCACCACAGTACGGGGCACTGAAGGAAGTGAGCATTCATACAGTGAGGGCAAGGCTGAGACTGCTGTACCATTTTTCTGACCTCATGTACTCTTCGTGGAGATTACTTAACCTCAGTCCCAATAACCAGGTAAAATTCCTTTGGAAAAAACTGGCTTGGCTCTGTTGTGTTATGCCATGTTGCTAGAGAGTTTCTGGCCAGGTTGAGATGGATCTTTGTAAAAATAATTTAAAAAAATATAATTCTGGATTAAACCAAACTTTGTCAAGGTATTGTTCTGTATTTTCACTTACACTAGCACTGACATGTCAGTGTTTCAGTTTCCAAGAGCTTTTTAGCTTTAAAACCAGAAAGCACTAACCTGTTTCCTGAAGCACTGGAGTGCCAGTGATTGCTCTGAAGGGTTTTATTGTGGGAAGAATGGAATTAATAGCCTTTATTGACATGTTTATTCTGGTGCTGCTTTATTTCAGAACAGTACATCTCATTACAATGCTGGAACGTGGGGAATAGTGCAGGGCCAGCTGAGGCCCTTGCTGGCACCCCGGGTGTACACCCTGCCCATGGTGCGCTCCATAGGGAAAACCATGGTGCAGGGCAAGAACTACGGGCCCCAGATCACTGTGAAGAGGATCTCAACCAGGTCAGTGCTGCTTCCACAGCCCCTGTGTCATGCTGGTGTTCACCCATCTCCTGATCTTTGGGCGTTCTGAGCTCTCTGTCCAGCTTTGTTAGGGCAGTGATTCCGCAGCCCTTACCTTTGAGTTACGTTGTCTGGCTGTGTTTCTCCCCACAGAGGTCGGAAGTGCAAGCCCATCTTTGTCCAGATAGCCAGGCAGGTGGTGAAGCTGAACGCCTCAGACCTTCGCCTGCCCTCCCGGGCCTGGAAGGTGAAACTGGTTGGAGAAGGAGCTGATGATGCAGGTGGAGTGTTTGATGACACTATTACAGAAATGTGTCAGGTATGTCTGGGAACTCAAAATGCCTGGGGAGAGGTTTTGTTCTCTCTTACAGTATTTTTCAAATTTTCCTCTTTGCAGCATAGCAAGTACTTGTTCTTCAGTGCTGAGCCATGGCACTAGGGCTGCCTGCTTAGGGGTGTCTCTGAGGATAAAGAAATCTTCCTAGTTTGTGTCAAGGAGATGCTATAAGGCCACACTATAACTAGTGTTACATTAGGCTCCTTGGAATTCTGAGATGGTCCCTACACATTACAGGAGCATTTTGCAGCCTCCCATTGTGTCCAGCCAGGACCTTCTTCGAGAAGCTGTGCTGTATTCCATGCCTGCAGCACATTCCAGGCCTGCAGTGCAGAAACACCTCAGGCAGGTGCTTCTCACATACCTGAAGACATTTTCACCTCTCAGATTCAGTGCTGGAAAGACCATCAGTAGCAGGAAGTGCCTGGGTTTGCCTCTCTGTGGCCATTTCAGTCCTTTCAGATTCCCCAGGAACTAACTGAAGGCTCCAGGCTGCAGGACTGAGACAAAGCTGATCCATGCTCATGTGTTCTGCCTGTAGTTTTAAGGATGTCTCAGCCCTGTGACACAGCCCTGATTGTAGCCAGGAGGAGGATTCAGGGCAATGCTGGCTGCAGAAGTTTGGTTGTTCCTTAATCTTCCAAAGCCTCAAAATACAAAGAATGAGGATTTGGGAGGTTAATGAGTCTATCTGCTTAGTCTGGGACAGGACAAGAGCTATGGGTAGTGCTGGAGCTAGCACTGGAGTCAGAGTTAAGATACAGGATGGAAAAACTGAAGGACTCCATTTATTAGTGAATTTTCTGGAGCCTGTAAGACTAGAGTAGAGTTGATTCGGATAAGGGCTTGAGGTTTAGTTTTTGGGTTCTTTCCTAGATAGTTTACATTCAATCTGAGGTGTGATGAGGGTTCAGAACAAAACTGAAAATTTTTTTGGATCTTGCAAAAGCTGCACCAGTAGGAAAAAGAGGTTATGGCTTCTGATTATTTTGGAAACAGGCAAAATAATCATGCTACTTTGTATGATGTATCACAGGAATGTATCACAGAGCAGCCACAGGAAAATAAAAATTATAGGCTGACATAAGGGCAGGTTTTGGGGGGAAAAAAATGCTTTTATTACTTACAGTCATCCTATGATGTTTACTTTCTCTTCAGTGTTTTGTCTTAATTTGTAAAGAGTAATCATCACTGTAGTGGAATATTCTGTCGTGTAATGCTATAATGTCTTCATAATTATGACATAGGTTTGTTATCCCTGTGTCTAAGAAGGCTTTTTTGTTGTTGATTTTTAAGGAACTGGAAACTGGAATCGTAGACCTGCTCATTCCTTCCCCAAATGCTACAGCTGAAGTAGGCTACAACAGGGATAGGTGAGTTGTGCAGGACTTGATTTATTGCAGATGGTAGGGGTTGAAAATCCAAATCTAGTAACTGTTTTATACCAAATGATGAGGCTTCATGACTGTCTCTAGTATATTTTTTCCTTCAAGTTGTAATGTTACTTTATTATGGAGGAGAGGGCATGGTTTTAACATGAACTTGCCGGATTACTGCTGGCAGAGTTCAGAGTAACATCAGGAATGGCAGCCCTTGTGTCAGGAGTGCTGCCTTCCTCAGCCTCAGGGTCTTAGCAGCTAAAGAGAACAATAATGGTCTTGTTTGGCCACCCCTTGGTGACAAGTGTGTGGGCAGTTTGCTCTTTTACTTAGTAGCATAGAAATGATACAGAGTGTTTTCCCTGATTCTTTGTTGTTCCAGGTTTCTCTTTAACCCTTCAGCATGTTTAGATGAACACCTGATGCAGTTCAAGTTCCTGGGCATTCTCATGGGGGTGGCTATTCGTACAAAAAAGCCATTAGATCTTCATTTGGCTCCAATGGTCTGGAAGCAACTTTGTTGTATCCCACTCATCTTGGAGGATTTGGAGGAGGTAGATCTGCTCTATGTGCAGACCCTCAACAGCATTCTTCACATTGAAGACAGTGGGATTACTGAAGAAAATTTCCATGAGGTAAGATGGGAAAGTTGAAGCTTTCAGGTTTATTCTGGAAGTGGTTGCTTTGTCAGATTGACCTTCACTTCAGTATTTATGTCATTTCAGTCTCCATTCTTGGCATAACAAGCACTTTGTGTGCATTTTGAATAGTTTGTGATCTTAGTATATACAGTTCTAGGTGACTTAGAGTAAAAAGTTAAACTTGTATCACTTACACTCAACATGCTTTTCCTGTTTTGCATCACAGATGATTCCTTTAGATTCTTTTGTTGGCCAAAGTGCTGATGGTAAAATGGTTCCCATAATCCCTGGAGGGAACAGTATCCCACTTACCTTTTCAAACAGGAAAGAGTATGTGGAGAGGGCAATTGAGTACAGACTCCATGAGATGGACCGTCAGGTAAGACTCCTTGGGACCCATCCCTGTTGGGAGTGGGAACAGGGGGGTGATTTATCCCAGTTTCCATTACAGTTTGTGGTAAGAAAATTTAGCTTTCTGCATCTTGACTGTGTCCCTGTGGCTTTTCTTCCCCCACAAATTGTTTTGGGGTTTTCTTTTAAATTAGTCCTGTTTTTCTCAGTAATTGCTCAGTTGGCAGAAGAGCATTAGAAATCAGAGCTTGTCTACACTAGAGTAGACAACCACTTGAAAAAAGAATTTTGCATGCTGGGCACTGTAACTGGGCATTTTAACAACACAGAGGCTATCAAAGTAAATATTATTGACAAACGTAAACAAACATATTGTTTAATTTGAGACTGTTTCTCTTCTGCTATAACACAAAACCTGCAAATATTCCATGATATGTTTTGGGAAGTGTTTGTTACCTGTTTGCCATTTGATCAGTGAACCTTGTGAAAGCAGTGTGCTAATTACAAGGTAGAGATGCATGTGTGGTACTGTCTGTGTTGGAGAAGCAGCTTTCTCATCAGAGGTACCAAATCCTAAGTCTTGTAGAACGAGAACATTCTCACCAGACACCTGAGGTGGAACAAAGTGTTATTTGTATTTACACAGTTCCTTGGGTTAGCCATCATCATTTGTGCTGCCTACTTGTACTTTGAGCAGTTCTGTTTAGTATCAAAACATGTTTTTAAATGTGCAGTTGCAATTTAAAATATCTGTGATGTTCTCCTGGCTTTTGAGAAGCAATCCAGCCCTTGCAGGGGGAGCACGTGTGGGAGGCAGATGTTCTGTAATTCTGTCTCTCTATCCCATTTCTCAGCTGAGAAGTTATTTCTGGGTTTGGATGGTACAGAAGTGGTGGAGGTGAGACAATTGCACTTCAGATGTCTCTTCTGTTTTTGGCCAACAGGTGGCTGCTGTCAGGGAGGGAATGTCCTGGATTGTTCCCGTTCCTTTGCTGTCCCTTCTGACTGCCAAGCAGTTGGAGCAAATGGTCTGTGGAATGCCGGAAATCTCCGTTGAAGTTCTGAAGAAAGTTGTGCGATACAGGGAGGTGGATGAGCAGCATCAGCTGGTGCAGTGGTTCTGGCACACCCTGGAGGAGTTTTCCAATGAGGAGAGAGTCCTTTTCATGAGGTTTGTGTCAGGAAGATCTCGACTGCCAGCCAACACAGCTGATATCTCTCAGCGATTCCAAATAATGAAGGTTGATAGGGTAAGTTGCTGGGTTTATTTGGCTTTTTTGTAATTAATATTATTTTCTTATTCATCTCTATTACGGTCTGTCCTTTGCCAGTAGGAGACAGTTTCCATTGTTCTAAATTTACAGGAAAAGTATGGGATGGGACGTGCTCTGAGTTAAGCCCAGACATTTTTATTGTGCAGAAGGACATAGGCTGCATGAATTGCATCTTAATTAATGTGGTGCAGTCAGTGATTAAAGGTCAAGACAAGTTCTTGCACTAGAAACAAACCTTGTTCTATTGTAACTTGCCCACAGCGATTTTCTGTTCCAGTCTCTTTTTTTGATTTAGTAATTTTCATTCTGGTTTTAAGTGTTAATTTTGTCTGAGTGGCAACATATGACCAGTAGTGAACTATAACGTTTTTAAACCACTGCAGTGAGTTTACAGTGTGTTATTTCACATACAGGATGCATTCATTTGGCATTGTTTGGGGGCTTTGTACAGTGAAAGCACGTTGTCTGTGAAGAACATGAATCAAAAACGTGACAAAATCAAACATGACAGTGGCTCGTCTGTCATCTTTGGTCAGGGGTCTCTTATGCTGAGAGACACTCTGGTTTGGAATTGAATGTTGCTTGGTACAGAGGGCTGAGGAGTGGGATCAGCTGTTCAAATAGCTGAGTTTCATCAGTGAGTTATTTACAAAGTAGGTGACACAGCAGTAGTTTTGCACATAATTAAGGATGAAACAAATGCTGTAAATGAGAGGCCAGTCCATTTCCTAAAAGGAACTTGGGTCTAGAATAATATCTTTATTGATGATCTGCATGAGGGGATTGCGTGTACCATCAGCACATTTGCAGCTGACACCAAGCTGGGGGTGTGTTGATGTGCTGGAAGGCAGGAGGGCTCTGCAGAGGGACCTGGCCAGGCTGGAGAGTTGGGCTGATTCCAAGGGGATGAGGTTCAACCAGGCCAAGTGCCGGGTCCTGCCCTTTGGCCACAAGAAGCCCTGGCAGCCCCTGGGGCTGGGGCCAGAGTGGCTGGAGAGCAGCCAGGCAGAGAGGGAGCTGTGGGAGTGTGGATTGACAGGAAGCTGAACATGAGCCAGAGTGTGCCCAGGTGGCCAAGAGGGCCAATGGATCCTGGCCTGGATCAGGAACAGTGTGGCAGCAGGAGGAGGGAAGGGGTTCTGCCCCTGGACTCAGTGCTGGTGAGGCCACCCCTGGAGTGCTGTGTCCAGCTCTGGGCCTCTCAGTTCATGAGGGGCTGGAGCAGGTGCAGAGAAGAGCAGCAAGGCTGGGGAAGGGACTGGAGCACAAGTCCTATGAGGAGAGGCTGAGGGAGCTGGGGGGGCTCAGCCTGGAGAAGAGGAGGCTCAGGGGAGACCTCCTGACTCTCTGCAACTCCCTGACAGGAGGTTGTAGCCAGGTGGGGTGATCTTCTTTCCCAGGAAGCAGCGTAGGGACAAGAGGGCCAGTCTTGAGCTGTGCCCAGAAGAAATTCTTTCCAGAGGGTGCTCAGCCATTGGAATGGGCTGCCCAGGGAGGGGGTGGATTCTCCATCCCTGGAGGTGTTTAAGGTGAGACTGGATGTGGCATCAGTGCCATGGGCTGGGAACCACAGCGGGGTTGGTCAAGGGTTGGACCTGATGATCTCGGAGGTCCCTTCCAAGCCGGTCGGTTCTGTGATGCTGTGCCCGGAGGAAGCTGACAGGCAGAGGCAGGGAAGGGAAGGAGCAGTGAAATACGTCTGCACTGGATGTTTTCCTTGATTCCCAGCTCACCAGTGGCCCCCCTTGTCTCCTCTCCCAGCCTTACGACAGCTTGCCTACCTCACAGACTTGTTTCTTTCAACTGCGGCTGCCGCCGTACTCCAGCCAGCTGGTGATGGCCGAGCGCCTGCGCTATGCAATCAACAACTGCCGCTCCATAGACATGGACAATTACATGCTCTCCCGGAACGTGGACAATGCCGAGGGCTCCGACACGGATTACTGACACCCTGTGAACAAAATCACCTTCCTTTTCCTACAGATAGTGCCCCGAGTCCGATTCATCGTTGACATAATTTTACGGTAACCATAGATGTTTTAGGAGCATTAAAAAAAAAAAACAAACCAGATGTTAATAGGTGGTGGCCACATTTTAGTTACTCTAAATGTAACCAAAAAAAAATTAGATGTTTTTATTTTTTTGTGATTGTACAAAAGCAAAAAGGAAAAACAAAACAAAAAAGTCCGATGGGTAAGTTTTTTCTCCTTTTTTGGTCACTTTTGATAAGTTTGCATGGAGACATTTTGGTGCATTTTTGTTGGGAATAGTACATTTGTAAGCCCTCCCAGTGAACATGAAGAGTTGTACATTGTGTATAATTGTTCATTAGCCAGGACTGTTTTACATGAATATTCACATATTTATTTTGTTTTAATTTGAATTGCCTGTGCAGGGTTCCTTATGCAGAGAAAAATAAAGCAAATTCAAGGATCGGTGGCTTGTTATGCATTTGTGAACTGGGGTTGGTTGTCTCAGTCTTCATATTTTTTATATTTTGTCTCAGGAAGTCATAGTGTTACGGTGTTCAGGCAGGGTTTGACATTTGAAGCACCTTAAAATGTTTCTCTTCACTGACTGTGATGTGTAGCCCTGCTTTGCTTTCCCAGTGTCCGAGGGGCTGCTGTGTTTGGGTGTTGATCCTCCTGCTGCAATACAAGTCCATCTTGTGCTTGGTTCCTTCTTGCTTTTCCTTTAAACATTTTGCTCCTCCAGAGGAGTCATTGGCAGTAGCAATGTGCTACCACCTGCACTCAGAAACCTCTGAATCTTTTGGCAGAAAAATGTTTTTTAATGTACAGATGGACAGAGTTGGTTCCTGAGTACAGAAAACTGACAGTGGAGGTGAGAGGGCAGTAGTTGAGGCTGGGGGTTTATGCACATTCTTGGCTCTGCCTTTGCTCTCCTCTTGTTGCAGCTGTAGCTGTTATGATCAGCATGGTTTGGGTCACACTGGAGTTCCATCCTGGGTTAGGACAGAAATGAGCTGCACAGGAACCTGTAGAAAAGACCTTGTTTGTGTCAAACCAGAAATGCTGCTTGGTGTTGAGGAGCAGGAGGGACCTGGAGAGTGTCCCCAGGTGAGTCAGGGCTGCTCTGCCCCTGTTCCCCCCATCCTCATCCTCTCTGAGCTCCTGGGGAAGGTGCTGTGGGGCCTGAGGGCAGGTGAGAGTGTTTATCAGTGTCACCTCACCTGGGACAGGAGTGGTCCATCTGAGCCTGGAGCACAGGCAGAAATTCCTGTTGTTTTTCTTCACATGTTCACTGTGTGTTCACAAGGGTGACTTGGGAAATTCCTGGCTGTCCAAGACTGAACTGGTTGTTGCTGCCAGCTCAGAGTGCTCAAAGCTTGATAAGCCGTGGGACTGTGCAGGTCTGGGTTTTACTGGTGACATTCTCTAAGTCAGGACTAGTTGTTGGCTCCTGGGGAAGGCACAAGGTTTGTAGCTGTGACCCCCACACTGCAGGGGGGGTCAGCAGTCTAAGGGGAAGGGGGGTCTCAGGGCCCTGGAATCAAGCAGACCTTGTTTCCTGCCCCCTTGTGTGTTCTGGTTCCAAACTGGACTGAGTTCTTGGTGTTGTGGGGGAGTATATGCACATTGTGGTCTAGATTTATGGGTGTAATACCTAAAAACTACAGTATTACAAATAAAAGGGGAAACTGCTGTATTAAGTCCTGTATTATTGCCTGCTGGACTGCACTGATGTGTCTTAGTGCTACTGAGTTGTCAACCTGTTTTAATCAGGCAAAGGAAATAATAGAGCTGTGCCTAAAAATTGCAGTTTTATATGGACTGTGCAGTTGGCTTCTTGGATAATGAGGGTATTTTTGGAGGCAGTTTACACTGAAATGAAAGAGAATGTTGATATTGGTAAATATTGATGTTGATTAAAGGATTGTGTTTGATGGAACTTTAATGGCTTGGAGCTAAAGAAAACCACAGGCCTATTTTCATCCTTCCATCATACCCTGAATAAAATGTGATCACTTTATATACTCAATTTTCAAATTGAATTGCTAAGGGAGAAAATTTATTATTGGTGCTGAAAAAATGTATCAACACAATTGTGTTCAAATTTTACCATGTCATGAACAAATATCCTCGTTCACATTGGGGAAGAGCAAAGTAAAATGACTTTGAGCATTTGTATGTAAATAGGCAAAGAAACCAAGTGGGTGTTTTAAGATCCTTTTAGGCTCTACAAAGTAAAAAAAAAGCTACAACACCCCCCACCCCCCAGCCAGTCCTGAGAGAAAACTGGCAGAAAGGTTTAAGTAATATGCAGACAGATGCAAACCCACTTCCATATCTTGTAGCTGCTTGACAGTCTGTTCCTGTTCCACCTCCAGAGCCGTCTCTCAGCCCAGGGGTTGGAGAGCTGGCAGCAGGAGCAGCTCTTTGGTTCCTGGTGGGACTGTGTAAATTCCTGCCTTGTTTTGGCTGGTCAGCACTCTGTGACACTGGTGTTGTGTGTCCAAGGCAGGGGTGGTGCCAACATCCCACTTCCCACCTCACAGTCGGTCTGTTCAGCCTTCCCAGGCTGTGAGTGCTGGGTTGGGATTTGCTCTTTGTCCTTCCTGTCCACACTTCCAGTTCTGTTCCTTCATGGTGCTTAAGGGTCCCACTGAAATCTGAGGAATGCCAGAGTTTTAGTGTCATGCCATTAAATAAGTCTGAGTTATGAAGATGCAATAATCCAGGTATCTTCCCTGTTTGTTTTCTGGGTGTTTCTCACAGATGTTCACACTGATCAAGTGTTTCTCTAGAATTCCAGCTCTGTGTGACTGAGTTGCTGTAATGCTGTGCTTTATTTCTTAGCTCAGCCAAATTAGAGTGTCCCAAGGATACCTGTGGATCAGTTAACCAGGATGGAAAGGAGCAGTGAGTATATGCCATTATGCTGAGAGCTGTAAAGTTCTCTTTTCATTTTTGCTGCAGCACACGAGGAGTGTTTTCAGGAGGTCATAGCTGGCTCAGCAGTTTTTGCAGAGGAAAGAAGCCACCCTAGGCAGGTAGTCTAATAAAACAGTTCTGCTGAAATGATCTGAAACTTACCTTCCTAAGGAAACTGGAAATACAATTTTACCATTCTAGTCTTGCATTAAAAATTGGCTTCAGGTGGAATTTTGATAACACGTTTCCATTCTTTCTGTTCAAATGTGAACAAAAGACAATGTACCAGCTGAAATAAATCTTTCTTTCAAGGCCACCTGAGGCACCAGAGCCAAGCTGGTCATTAGGACACCCCAGGCATTTTCTGCACATTAATTAAAGGAGCAACAGTGTTGTAAAAAGAATACAGCAGGGAACTGGAAAATCAAACCAGTTCTTCCTGGGGAACTGAGGCCCAACTTCAGGACTTGGTTTTATAGTTTAGATGACAAAGAGCAAGGGAAAAGGTCTGCTCTGCTTCAGCAGCATTTTTTCACACATTCTTTGTGTTTTAGAGAGGTACTGCAGTCACACCATTGTCTAAATTTAAAGAAAAACATGTATCATGTTGGATATTTGTGACACCCTTGAATAATTTCTGAAGAAGTCAGAAAGAAGTCACAAATTTCCTTCAGGGACAAGTTGGCTCTTACAGTCTTCCAGTTACTTGAAAAATTAAAATGCAGACCAGTAGGAAGGCTGCAAAACTAAACCTGCAAATAACTGTTAAAGTGCAGTAGATTATTTTAAACCTCGATAGCCTTGAGATAGTTGAATTCTGGTGATGGCAATTCCAGTTCACATGTTTTTAACTCTGATTTCTTCAGTGTTCTGTTACCTGCAGTAGGATTAATTCTCAAGCATGTAAATGAGAACCAGGCCTGCTGTGGTGCAGGCACAGGAACTGCTGTGCTGCCCTAATACTGAATAATTGGTCTGTGATGGAACAGAGATGTTGAGACTCTTAGTGGGGCAGAACAGTATTTCTGGAAATTAGTATTTCTAAATTTGCTTTAAGGACACACACACACTCTCATATGTTCCTACTCTGTGTAGGGTTTTAATTTAAACCAAAATCTTAACTGCTGTACAGCTTCACTGTGATCCAGGCTGGAACTGTTCAGGATCCAGGGTTTGTGAAGCTGGGCCATGTGCAGCCTGGGCCTGTTTGGTGTGGAAGCTGCACTGGCATTGGTTCCCCCCTATTTCATGATCTGCCTTTCTTTGGAAGCAGAAGGTTCTTCAGTGGGTTATACTGGATGGGACAGGCATTTAAGGTAAACATAAGTTCAGCTGCAGAGGCAGCAGGAATGGGCAGGATTTTGTGGTGCTTTCCAGGAGTTGGAATTCTGAATTCACACTAGAATTGCTGAACAAAATGGGAAGTAATGGAAAGCAGAATTTGGGGATGTGCTCACAGAGAGTAAGGCACAGGGCTTGAGAAATGCTGTGGTTCAGACAAACCCCTGCAGAACTCACACCTGATGACAAGGATTTTCCTGGATTGTTAGGCTGAGACAAGTCAAACCTGGGCTGGGTGACTGCAGGACACAGGAAGAGGGCACTCAGAAACGTTTAACTTTCCTCAGGAAAAGTCTGGAAGGGCAGAAAGAGTCTTGGAGTGTGGTGTGGCAGCCCTGAGTCCCAATACCACACCAAACCCAGGGTACCACAGCCAGTTTTCCACAGCAGAATAAAACTGTGCCAGCCTTTGGTGTCTGGCTCTGTAGATGATGGCACAGCATCACCTGCACAGTTGCAGTGAAGCTCCACTTCCATGAAGCAGAGCAGCAGGAAAGGGACAGCTTTGTGGTCTGTGATGAAAATAGCTCCTTGGTTTGTACTTTGCAGTGAGAAATGGGTGTTTATATCCAGCTGTGTTCCTAATTTAGCATTAAAGCTGTAAGTCACTGTCCTTTCCTGTAGATTAGTTCTCTGAACCAGCATTTGTTCATACTGTGTTTCCTTTAATGTCACCTTGGAAAGATTCCTTGGTGTGTCTTACATTGTGTAAGTACATCATGCAGAGGGTCAGCCTGTGTTCTGTGTGCATTGAGTCCATGCTTCCCTCATTTAATCAAGGAGCCTGGTAAAGATCTCCCACTGTCAATCACTAAGGAAGTGCTGCTTGTCAGGTACTCTGCTTTTGCTGGGAAGACCTTACAGGGAGTGGTTTTCCCCCTTGGCAGATGGAATGATTGTATGGATATACCCTTTAACAGAAATTTGGTAATCACTCTGCCCTGAAATTTGTGGAAATCACACAATGACAGTGTCTGCTGTGCCTTTGTGCCCTTACCCATCACTGAGGAGTTTAGAGTGTGGGGTCCACTCTGAACCTTGTGATGGAACCTCAGTAGGAGGCTATTCCTTCATCTCTGTGTTCTGGGGTCTCTGTGTGGATCACTCTACCTCAATTCCAACTCTTTGTATGTCCTTGTCTTTGTTTTTCCCATGCAGTAATTAGTCAGGTGAACTGTGCCATCAAACTCACTGCAC